AAGAAACAGCTTGTGTTTATACCATGTGTGGCGCAAATTCATAGTTTTGCCAAATTGTGACGGACTTGGTCCAATCGCTTTGCCAATTTTAGGGAAGATATGGAAATCATATGGTTTGGATGGAAAAAAAACACAAATTAGACAAGGGGGACCGTGACCGGACCGTGACCAAACCGTGACAGGGCTAAACTTTGGCGTGACAGGACTAAATTTTGGCGTGACCCACCCCCCCAAAAAAAACAATCATTTTATGAATATGTTTGGCACAAAAAAAACATGTGGAATATAAATTGGGTTCGATCAGTGCAACTGCTGGTAACTGAAATGATCGTTATTTCACTGCGCATGGAAGACTCGAAGCACTGAATTCATCCAAATTCGAATGTTCATTTGTGGCTCAAAGGAAAACAACATTCCCCAAAGGTACTTAATCATATCATCGTCGAAAAATCCCAGTATGAAGCATCATGGTTGATTTTGGGGGCTATACAACCTGGCACCACCATGTCTATCCCTGTTGCGGTGGTGAATTAGTCTATCATCAGTTGAGAATTAGTGTCGCCCAGGCTGAATGAAAGTTACCGGCTTCGAAAGTGACTATGATGTTGCAACGCTACGCAGAACGCTTCGATGTGAGCAAGCATTGGCGCTTGAAAAGTGAGCTCTTGTGGGTAAGGGTTTGGTGGTTCAAAGACCCTTTGATTCTTGGGAATCAAGATTTGTTAAAATTTGGACAATCTGCAATCTACAACATGAGAATGACATGACCGTGACCGGCCGTGACCGGCATGACCCGCGAAAGGCTATATTAAGTTCAGTCTTTTTTACAAAAACTAAATTAAGTATAGCCTTTGGAAGGCTAGGGTATATATATATATATATCCTTTGCTTCATAAACCATTGGATTTCCACATCTATGCGAACGCTTACCCCAGGGTAACCATGGAAAAATTGGGATTTGACATGATTTAACCATCAGACATAGAGTTTGAACCTTTAAAAATTGTGATTTCAGCAGTTTTTTTCCGATGAAGGTATTGGGTCCTTTAGGAGCTTGTTGATTCACACAATCGCACACACACAAAAAAAAACATACTATAAAAATTGCACTTAAGGTGATGAAATCAGCTACACATACTGTAATCTCAAACATGGTATATGATGGTATATCCCATAGGATCCATGTATGGTATATATGCTAACATGTGGGCGCAAGTTTTGGCCAGTGCACCGCTCAATTCAGCTTCGGACCTTGCCTTCATCTACATGTTCTTCAAACAGGGGCTTCCGATTGGACCCAAGTTTCGTTTCCATAGAAAGTTTCACGCAGATCCGGAACTGGAAGCCGTTGGCAACGGCATTTCCACGTTGGCCCTGCAGATCATTCTCCCAACTGCCTGTCACGAATATCATCTTTCCGCTGCAGACACTTTTGGATTTGGGGTATATTGATGGTACATGTTACCATATATAGCATACATAGATCCTATGGGATATGGTTGTGCAGCTTTTGGCATACAACCAATCTACGGTATGCGTACGGTGCAGCAGATGTTTTTTTGACTTCGTCCCTATGCTGAGTGGATTATCCCTGGTAGCTCTACCTATAGTCAGGTGGTGTGTATCATGTACTGTGTATTTATATATATATACACGCGCATAGACACAGTGTATACTGTATATGTGCACATTTTTTTAAAAAAAATACATTAATGTATACATATTCGATTGATATTGCGTGACTTGTGAAAGTTGTTTCATGATGTATTTATAGATACATTGGTAGCTATTTAGCAAGTTATACATCACTTTCCCAGGTTGGCTTTGCTGTCAGACGCTGGTCGTCGAGAAGGAGGTGGGGCGTTTGAAGATTTGTTGAACCCAAAGGCCACGAATCTGCCCTAAAAGTCACCAAAATGAAGTCAGTTCACATGTCAATGGGAATTCCAGGATGCTGAAATGGAGGTACGTTAGTAATGCCAACACCGGATTAACAACCCCCCCAGAAGGTCAGAACTCTACCTTGTAGGTCCCCCCCTTAAACCCCCTTAATAAGAAGCAACTCTGAACCATAAAACTTTGGATATGGCTTACGTCAATTAGATCGTAATAGAATTCTATTGGATTTGTTAAAATCTCATGGATCAGAAAGGTGGTTGATTAATCAGGGGCAAACCCTGGTTATTATTAATGGGGAACATGGGCTCATGGGGGGTACCCTTTGGGAGCTATCCAAACTGATGATTTTTATCAAGATTTTAATTAAAAATCGATCATTTGGGGAATAGTTTGTTTTTTGAAATTTTCAATGATCAACTTAAACCTTAAGTATAACAATGATGATAAAAAAAAAAACACAAATTTTAAACATAATTGGAAATAAATAGAATTGGAAATAAAAAAATGTTGGATAAAAAATTGATTTCAGCACTGGTGGTTTTTTTAATCGGGGGTGTTTATTATTCTGGGGGGACCACCTGTTTTTAAATTGCATTTTTTTGGGGGGGGAGGAGGAGGTTGATTAATAACGGGGCGTTGATTAATCCTGACTTGACATTATCATATAAGTCCATATTTTGTGGGGATATTCCCTGAAGTTTAGGCCTGAAAATATATCGTTCCTGAAATGGCCATAGGTTCCATTCCAGTCACCTGCAGTATCCGCATCTCCCGGCCAGGTGCCAGCAGCGCTGTGGACTTCCTGTTCTCAGCGGCCCGTGGCTGCCAGACAGACCTTCCAGTGGTCCTGTTGCGTGCGCATGCTGCACGGGAAGGTGGGGAAACGATGAAAGGGGGGGAAGACGTGCGAATTGGCGGTGGAAGTTAGCTTTTGGCTGTACCAATGTACGTAAATAAATATATACATATACATATATAAATATATATATATATACACATAATTATGTTTAGATATATAATATATAATATATAATATAATATATATATATAATATAATATATAATATATATAATATATGATATATAATATATAGAATATATAATAGATAATTTATAATATATAACATATTTTGTTTTTAATATCATATATATTGTAAATAATTTAAAACATAAAATAAATAATATATAAAATATATAATTTAATATATATATATATATGATATAATGTTTAATATATAATATATAAAATATTATATATATATTACTAATTATATATTATATAATATATAATATTTAATTTATAATATATAATATTTTTAATATATAATATATATTTTATAATATATTTTATATATATATATAATAATAATAGTAGTAATAATAATAACAACAAAAATAATAATACTATTGATGATAATAATTTTAAAAACAATAATAATTCTAATTATATATATATTATTATTTTATAACAATATATGATAATATATATATATATATATCTACTACGACTGCAACTATAATATGTGCAGGTATATACACATACACCAAACAGATGAAGGGCCTTAAGCAACAAAACATATCATGAGGGAAAACGGGTGAATCCTGTTGGAGTCTCTTCGGGGTCCCTATTAAATCCCCAGCGTCCAAGTACTGAGAGGTTCTGCTGTCATGCCTTTTTGGTAAACTGGATAAACTCTAGGCTTGCAACCTGGAAAATCAATCAGTTATTAAATATCGCTGGCAATGGAAAATCAATTAATCGATCATATCTCGACTCTTGATTTTTGATGCTCAGCTTAGCTATTCTTTGCCGTTACCACACCATAAGAAAATCATACGTTCGCTACTGCAGATGGAAAATCCCGTGAAACAACCAGTATCAGGACAGGCAAAAGACCATGATTCACTGGAGATTCAGCTACGAATTTCGCCCGACAAAGAGCAATTCTCGTCTCTCAGCCTTTGATTTCGTCATGCAATAAATGGATTTGTCCATTTCAAGAAACCGATAGTTCGCTTTCAAGACCCTTGGTCCATCAAAACTGATTAACTGAGTTTCGGGCCAAGAGATCCCCGGTTAATATCAAGTTTGAACCGTTAGGATTGGGGGAATCATACCCAAATTGGCGACTATTGTCAAGTTGCTGAATTATGTTCCATTATGTTCATTTGCCCACTTGGATGTGCATCTCAATTAGCAAGTAGTAGTTTACAATCATATATTAGATTTTTTTTCACGAAATATATGGTTTTTCACTAGGTGATATGTGTATATATATATATATGTATAACTATATATACACGAAGCAGCAAATACATGTACGAGCGGCTTTAACCATGCTTCATTTTTGCCACTTAGTGGGATGGACATTGGAAATCACGAGGTCTCACCATCCAGGAGATTGTAAAGACTTTCTTCCAATCAATGCTTTACACATGGGTGATGCCCGGCAGAAATCCAGCAACTCAAAAAGTGTTTCAAACACTTCACGAAACAACAAGATATACCCTCTGGTTATGACTAACATAGCCATGGAAGCCATGGCCCATAGAAATAGATGCTTTACCTATTAATAGCATGGTGGATTTTTCCATGGCTATGTTAGTCATAACCAGAGGGTTTAACATTATTTTTCCATATATTGGGAATGTCACAATCCCAACTGACGAACTCATATCAACCACCAACCAGAAGATATACTTGGTGGCTCATCCCACTTAGTAAGTGAGTTATAACCCCAGTTATAAATGGGATAAGTAGGGTAGCCCACTTCTAACTGGGGTTATAACCCACTTACTAAGTGGGATGAGCCACCAAGTAACAAAATATAAAAAACATGTTCTGACGACTGACCTTGTGTATACCCTTGGTGCAGGGTGAGGCCTTAGGAATTCACCAGTCGTTCTACCCGGCCGGCGAAGGCTTGGTGGAATCCATTCGCAAAACCGGAGGCCTACGGGTGCAGCTGGGCATCCCATTAAGCAAGTGCGGAAAAAATGGGAAAAAAAACATGCTTAGAAGTGCAGTTCCAGGGAACTAAGTGGATACAGATAATTCTTGAACTATACCCTCAGGTAAACGTTTACATAACTATGGAAAGATCCACCATGTTCTAGCTGGGTAAATTTACTATTTCTATGGCCATTTTCAATAGCAAACTGTTAGTCATTACCAGAGGGTAGTTCTAGGGCCCCATTTCCCAACTGATGTGGGTTCGGTTGGGTTCATGACCATGGTATACCATGGTTATATTCATTTCTAACCTCAACTGCACCCCCAAGTATATTGCTGGGGTATACTCTGATAACGGGGTCATAACATGGCGCACGAGAACCAACTCAAATCGATATTTAACCCCGCAAAGACAAAAATATATGGTGAGATGAAAGATGTCACTGTTGGATACCGGTGGTGCCCCCTCCAGCTATAAGTTGGTTTATAATCCACCTTCAAATTTCAGCTACGAAATGGGGAGGACTTGGGCTGTACAGATTGCCAGCCAAGATTTTGTACAAACAGGAGGGGTTGTGCCCCCCATTTTGTATTTGGAATCATTTTGTAGTTGATTCCTTTCCAATCATCATTTTCATTTTTAGTTGTATAATATGTTGGGTTAGTTGAAGCATCCAACATAAAATCTCATTAGCATTTTGTAGTTGTACAAGTTGAATAGTTGAAGCATCCAACATAAAATCTCATTTGCATTTTGCATTTGAAGAGGTGAGAAGAGGTGGAAAAAAGGAAACAGTGCGTGACATGTACATGGGCACAAGCAGATCATGGAGCTACAGAATGCCATCTAACAAACTGCACGGGGTCAACACTTGATCCAACTAAATTCAATCATTGACAACTACAAAATGTTCTCCGAATTTATGTTGGTCGGAACTTTGGATGGCAAAGACCCAACTACAAAATGTCATTGGGAAAAATCATGTTAGCAATTCCGACGTTCAGCTATTTTTTAACTTCAGATGCATTGGATTTTGTAGTACTGGTTTTGAATTATTTTCCGAGCCAGAAAGAGTTATGTTCTTCATTTTGTAGCTGCAAAAAAACAACATGCACTGCATTTTGTAGTTGTGCACCCTATGCATTCCGCTTTGTATCTACCAAAACCATCTGCACAACTCCTCCCCCCTTATCTGAACCCTGATGGTTTATATAAGATCCATTAGTTCGTTATAAGTATCATAAAGCCTAGTTATTGAAGTTATGTAAACCAACTTATATAGCTATTGTTCGTTATATTTCCCATAAACCCAAACGTTATTATTGAAGTTATAAACCCAACGTTAACCAAGCTATATAACCCATCTAAATATAATCATAAGTATCATACACTATTGTTATTATAGTTATAAACCAACGTTAGCTAACGATTAATGGGGCACCGTGCGACGTCAGGCGGGCTACGAGTCTTGATCCAGAGCTATGATGCCTTCGCCTCGGTGCGGGCTGCTGAGTCTGGCGTTCCTCGCTTCCGTCGCTGTTGATACGTCGGGTGGTGCCCCAGTTCGTTAGCTAAGTTGGTTTATAAGTCCAATAACTATGGTTTATGTTTAGGCATGATCTCCAAAGTCTTGTTGGTGCATCTCACGTAATGGCTGCGTCATCTCACATTTGCTGTTTTCACAGTTATGGCCATATAACAGTTATAAGTACTGAACAAACCCCATTTATAGAATGTATAATCCCATAGAAATAACCAGTTATAACTGGTAAATGGCCATAACTGTAGGGTCCGGATGTTGCGGGTTGTCGCTGGAAAATGTTGTTTTTTCCTCGGGTAAACACAGAAAAAGATGTCAGGTTGCTGGTTTCAAACATGTTTTATTTTCCATAATATAGGGGCTAATCCTTCCCATTGACTAATATGTTTCAATATTTTTCAAGATGATTAAAACCACCAACCAGATGTGGAAAACCCATGAAAACCGATGGTTTCCTGTGAAATGATCTACCAAGGGCGGGGGTTCTGGACCTATTTGTTTGTTTACTGGAGTGTAACTGTTACAAGAATCAGGGTTTCAGCTGCAAAAAGTGACGATTCTATGAGAAGTTCAACGAGAACACTTGGGAGTTCCCGCAGTAGGGGAGATCGACCAAGAAGGTGGAATCAACCACCAAAATCCTCAGATTTCAATTTAACCCCCATCATTTCCCATCTAACTCGAGTTGTGGTCAACACAAACCCTTCTTATTCGAGTTGTACAACAACTTTAGCTAGCGAACTGGAGCACCACCTTGCAGCTAGAAAATAGTCAAAACATATATAAATGATATTAAATAAATCATCTTCAATCACCCATTTTTGACAGTTCAGTCCTCATTTTTCCTTGACTTTGGTGCATTTGGCCCGGGTGGAGCCCAGTGCCCAGTGCCGTGCCCGAGGTGCCAGTGCTCACATCGGATGAATGGTCGCAGGACATGGCGCGGGCCATTTTTCTGCCACGCTTCATTCCAGAGCAGGATGGGCAACGTGTGGCACTGTGGAAGTGACCAGTCAATCGACCAAGAATCTCCAAGGGATCTTTTGGGAATGAGTCAAACGCATTAAAAAAACATGTCATGTGACATAGGGAATCAACATCCAGCACCATGGTGATTTAGATGGGGTTATCACATTCCAATGTGACTGACAAACATCACTTGTAAGGGCCGCTGGATGTGATTCCCGGAACTGCTGCTCCATGGTCCATATGGTGCTGGAACTTTCAGAGACCTACTTGTTTGGGTGTGACAAAAAGGGTACTTGGTGGCTCATCCCACTTAGCAAGTGGGTTATAACCCCAGTTATAAGTGGATTAACCCTACTTATCCCATGTAAATCACTGGGGTTATAACTCACTTACTAAGTGGGATGAGCCACCAAGTATAAAGCACTTGGCAAATATATCATACATGGAGCATAGCTTGGATAGCTTGGGATAGCTTGGGATATACTTGACACGCCCATATTTCGTTTACCACCATGAGCAGATTGAGGGGAAAGCCGCGGGAAAGCCGCCAATTTGATGGGTTGAGACTGAGAACTAGGAAATGAGGGATACTTTAATCATAGCACAAAAGTCAAGAAACTGATGAAAAAACAAGTCATAATCAATTCTGGGAACATGTGGAAGCAACAGGGGATAGATTTGAAGGGATGTAGTGACTAGGTGTGTGTAGCAAGTTACTAAGTGCACATATAATGCACTAAGTACGTTTTGGACCTGGCATTACCACAAGTATTTGTTTGTCCATGGTCAGTGTATCAGGATTTCGGTTCTTAATATCCCCATGTTATAATGCGTTTGACCCCAGCTCTGCTGCGTCGCTCGTATTTGGAGTATCAGGCCACTTAGTAACCAGCCCACTTAGTAGAGGGTTAAGAATCATAATCATCCTGGTTAGTAATTATGTCTACTAAGATCTACTAAGTGGGTTACGCCTTGTATAGATGGGTTGTAGCATGTTATAGCTATGGCTATGTTAGATATGTCCACCATTGGTGCTGGATTTTTTATGCATATCTTGTTGGTGCTGCCATCTTTCGACCGTCACCTGCCCCCGAAGAGCAAAATGGGCAGAAACGCTTCAAGACTGAAAGCCATCGGCACTCAAGTCATCACAAGCCGGAGAAGATCTTTACAGCAGGCGTTTGAGGGAACGGTCAGCCACAGGGCACCGTCGGGATCCGGCAGCTGTTGTTTCATGCAGAATTTTTCAAACGGTCCACCATGGTCCGCCGGAAATCTCCAGCAGAAAGCCCAAGCGCGATTTCACCAGAAAGAGAGGGGATCTACAGGAACGACGTTTCGGGCAGTCAAGTTCTTGCGCGGCGTTTTTTGGGCCACCTTTCGCGAGATGGATCCTTGGTAACATGGGCCAGGAGGACAAGAGTAAGACGCCTGCTATACACCCGTGAACTAAGTTAACTTCGCTATCACAAATCAGCGATAAATCTCATGAACTTCCATAAAATGTCGGTAAATCACCATGAAATCACCATGAAATTCCATAACATCCCCACTGAACCACCATGAAATCACCAATTTTGTTGGTGAACTCACCATTAAATCACCTTTAAATCACCAGTAAATCGCCATAAATTACCAGTAAATCACCATTGGTTGGTGACAAACCACCATTTTCTCCGCTTTCGTGGCGAGGGGCGCCTCAGGAGGCACAGGATTGGCCCGCGGTCTGGGAAGCGGTCGGGGGTCATCCCGCCCACCTGCGACAGCTGTCGGAGCTGATCGTGACGCGGCCGAGCTCGGGATGGGATAAAACTGATGAATGATGGTGATTTATGGTGATTTACCGGGGATTTAAGGGCATTTAATGACATTTCATGGTGTGATTTACTGGGGATTTAAGGGCATTTAATGACATTTCATGGTGATTTAACTGGGGATTAATATTTCAGGTGCTGGTGATTTAATGACATTTCATGGTGGTGAGGATTTAATTGTGCATTTAATGACATTGGGGATTTAATGGTGACATTTCATGGTGATTTAAATGTGAATTTAAGGGCATTTATGACATTTCATGGTGATTTCCTGAGGATTTACTGGGGATTTAAGGGCATTTAATGACATTTCATGGTGATTTAATGGTGGTTAATGGGGATTTAATGACATTTCATGGTGATTTAAATGTGATTTACTGGTGATTTAAGGGCATTTAATGACATTTCATGGTGATTTCCTGAGGATTTACTGGGGATTTAAGGGCATTTAATGACATTTCATGGTGATTTAATGGTGATTAATGGGGATTTAATGACATTTCATGGTGATTTAAATGTGATTTACTGGTGATTTAAGGGCATTTAATGACATTTCATGGTGATTTACTGAGGATTTACTGGGGATTTAAGGGCATTTAATGACATTTCATGGTGATTTAATGGTGATTAATGGGGATTTAATGACATTTCATGGTGATTTAAATGTGATTTACTGGTGATTTAAGGGCATTTAATGACATTTCATGGTGATTTCCTGAGGGTTTACTGGGGATTTAAGGGCATTTAATGACATTTCATGGTGATTTAATTGTGATTAATGGGGATTTAATGACATTTCATGGTGATTTAAATGTGATTTACTGGTGATTTAAGGGCATTTAATGACATTTCATGGTGATTTCCTGAGGATTTACTGAGGATTTAATGGCATTTAATGACATTTCATGGTGATTTAATGGTGATTAATGGTGATTTAATGACATTTCATGGTGATTTAAATGTGATTTACTGGTGATTTAAGGGCATTTAATGCCATTTCATGGTGATTTCCTGAGGATTTACTGGGGATTTAAGGGCATTTAATGACATTTCATGGTGATTTAATGGTGGTTAATGGGGATTTAATGACATTTCATGGTGATTTAAATGTGATTTACTGGTGATTTAAGGGCATTTAATGACATTTCATGGTGATTTCCTGAGGATTTACTGGGGATTTAAGGGCATTTAATGACATTTCATGGTGATTTAATGGTGATTAATGGGGATTTAATGACATTTCATGGTGATTTAAATGTGATTTACTGGTGATTTAAGGGCATTTAATGACATTTCATGGTGATTTAAATGTGATTTACTGGGGATTTAAGGGCATTGAATGACATTTCATGGTGATTTAATGGTGATTAATGGTGATTTAATGACATTTCATGGTGATTTACTGAGGATTTACTGGTGATTTAAAGGCATTTAATGACATTTCATGGTGATTTCCTGAGGATTTACTGGGGATTTAAGGGCATTTAATGACATTTCATGGTGATTTAATGGTGATTAATGGGGATTTAAGGGCATTTAATGACATTTCATGGTGATTTAATGGTGATTTACTGGGGATTTCCTGGGGATTATGATTTCATGGTGACTTTAATGGGCCCATTCCAGTTATGGCCCGAAATATCAGTTATAGGTACTGAACAAACCCCATTTATAGATATATATATATATATAGAAGGTCTAATCCCATAGATTCATGACCAGTTATAACTAATAAATGGCAAACACTGTTGATGAATTGTGGAACTCCAAGTTTCACAGCAATCCAAGATGAGACTTCCTGGTGATTTACTGGGGATTTCATGGTGTTTTTTTGGGTTTATGAAATTTCATGGTGATTAATGGTAATTTAATGGTGATGAAGGGTGATTTAGTAGTTGTTACTAGTGACTAATGATGGTGGAACTGATCAATGGGATCAATGGGATTTACCCTCTGGTAAATTGAGAGTTGGTTGGACCCTGAAAATCGAACATGTTGAGAAACTGATCTTCAAGATCTTCCAAGACCGATGAATGCCATGGTCATTTAACCAGCCAAAAATGGATCAGTTGGATGCAACCAGCCCGGGATCGGCACGGGAATTCCTTGGATGGAACAAAGCTGGTTTCCAGACATAGGTTCATGTGTTTGGTACAGTTATGGCCATATAACAGTTATAAGTACTGAACAAACCCCATTTATAGAATGTATAATCCCATAGAAATAACCAGTTATAACTGGTAAATGGCCATAACTGTACACAAATATGCATTGCCATGAATAGGGAACAGATAATTATTGTGCAACAGGAAACTCACATCAGGGTATCTTAGATTAAGCAAATTGCAGGAGGAGTGAGGGTCCATTGGGTAGAACTATCAATGATAGAAAGCTTGGCAAACATGGATACTGTGTTCCTATGGCTGGGTGATTCATCGGTATATATGGCTCGAAAGATTGGTTTTGGACAAGCATCCCAGCACCGACCAGCTGGCAGCGGATGAACCAGTAAACAACGAACAGGGGACTGGGTGCTATGGTTGGCCACAACAGGAATATATGATAATATATGACCACTTCAAGACTTTTTGATATTGCATGATATTACTGGGAATATATCCAAGAGTTATGCAGTTATGCCAATATAAAACTGCTGGCGTTGATTTCACCGGCAGTTCCACCGCTGAGGTGGAGGAAAGGAAGGTCATTGAGGCTGAAAGATTGCAGGAGGAGCGAAGCATAGCGAAGCCGGTGACCAGCAGAACATCCCCAACCAACTGGACTGGTTCAAATTGATGTTATAACTTTTTTTTTTTTAAACTTGTTTTCAAGGATTTAATGGGAACTATGAACACTTTACTCATCCCCAGCCCCAGCTGGATAGGTATCTGTTAATCCTTTCGTTTTTTTGTCATGAAAAAAACACCATAACCAGCAAAAGAATGCTATTTTTTGTTAGACTACCCTAAGGATTGACAATGTTAAGCGATTTGTTCATGTTCTGCTGGGCCGAAAAGATTGTCACCTTTGGCCGGGACTTTTCCCATGGTTTTCTGAGCTGATGTTCATGGGAATAAAACACAGCAGGTCTTGGAAAAATATGGAAAACCAACTTAAGTACCGGGATATACTCATATATATATATATATATATTCTCCAGTAAATCCATGCAAATATACATGGACCGTGCATCATGAAAATAGATCATTTCCTTTGGTAAACTGCCAGTTGTCCATATCTTTTTGTATGTTTACTAGCTGGCTGGTTGGGCGGTGTAGCGCTGTGACCAGGAGAAAGAGGAAGAACAAGCCGAGAGGCACCGGCAGAAACTCCGTCCTGGCAGGCGTGGTTTCTTTCTTCAACTGACACCATTCCTGGTTGGTGGTTTGGAACATGGCTTTTATGACTTTCCATGAATATTGGGAATAATAACCCCAACTGATTGATATGTGTCAGAGGGGTTGAAACCACCAACCAGATATAACCCCTATGGATCCAAACACTGTCTGAGAAGGTACTTAAGCCTCCAAATTATAGTAAATTATACCCCAAACACTTCCTAAGAAGGTATTTGGATCCGTAGGGAACCAGATTCAGGTGCTCCATTGTCCATGGAAGTCTCGATTTGTTGAACCTTGCTTGAGCCAGCAATTGATATAGGGAACCTGGAGACTTGGATGAAGCACGAACCCTATAGTTTGGTCTATTTGTTTCAACCAAATCGTTGAACCATATAGTTGAACCAGATATAACCAGGCTAACATAGATAAACATATAGATAAACCAGATAATTGAAGCAGATAAAGATAGATAATAACCAGATATAAACCTTAAAATAAACCAGCTGTTTTGTTTCCAAATGCCAATGGACGCGCCTTTTTTCTCGTTTTGAAAAAACGTCAACCTGTTCTCGAAAAACGTGCCGTGGAGGAATCCGGACGCCGAAGAGTACTTGGAAATCGCCAAACAGCATCTGGTCATCCCCCGGAGATGCGGAGTTGATCCGTGCGTTCCGATTTTTTGTTGGCAGAAAAGAACCATATTAAGAATTCACAAAAGATCAAGTATATAACTATGTTGTATTGTAGAGGGATAGTATCTAGATGATACCAAAGATATCATGATAGTATACTAATTATACTATGAAGTTGTAGAGCATTGGAGAATTCTTTCGTTTTGTGACCTTCAAAGATGCTGTTGGGACCCCCGTTGCTTCGCTGAGATCGCCAAGGCAAAGTCGGGATGATAGTTTTCGTGCCGACGCAAGGCAACCTGAGGCGACTGGAAACGGGCGCCGCAGAACCCGGATGCAACGGAAGTGCCATGGTCAGATGTCAGAACGTGGTTTATCTAATCTGATCTAGTAGAATCTAATCTAAATGAAATCTATAATCTAAATTAATTCCAATCTAATCTATATATATAATCTATCTACCAATGCGAGTCGCATCTAGCATGTTTTTTTGTTTTATCAGTTGCTTCGGAAAAAAACCTCCTGCAGGGTGCGGTGGAGCTGGTCTTGCGTCGTTTGCCGGAACTCATGAAAGAGGAGATTGAAGCTCGTTCCGAATGCAGCCTGTGGGAGAGCTGGTTTGTGCTGAGCCTGGCTGTTACAGAAAACCCGGCTGTAAATCCCTGTTGGTTGATTAGGATGATGTTTGGTAGTCATTTACCCTCTGGTTATGACTAACAGTTTGCCATGGAAAATCACCATTTTTCATAGATAAACCCAGGTAAACCATCTATAAATGGGCCATCTATACCATGGCTATGTTAAATAACCAGAGGGTAGTAGTCATTTAATCCGGGGGTTTAATCTCAATAGAACTTAACTGATGTTCATGATGGTTGATCGATGATTAAATATGGGGTGATACTACCCACGTTAGGATTACAATCATCCATGATGGGAATCCCTCTTAACCATGCAGGCAGAGCCACTGCTCAGATGGCTTTATCCCACCTTCCAGCCAGAACTAGCCACACTTCTGTGTGGAGAACATGAGAACAGCCGCAGATTTTCCATGGGGTACACCCCTACTCTATTTTCAGGCTCCCAGAAAATGAAACCGTGTACTTAGATGAGCAAACTGAGTAAACTGGGGTTTAAGCCACGCACAAAGATAAGAACAACTATCAGAATTGGATGACCAGGGAAAACCTACAGGAAACATCTACACTTGATGGTAAACACACATGGTTTCCGATTATTGTTCTTTCATCTAAGATGGTGACAGTAAGGAACCTTGGTGAATGTTTAAATGTTGAGCTGGCAATCGAGATTCACCATTTTTCATATTGAAAGCGAGCTAGGCATGAATACGTTTTGTTGATTGACTTTATTCCCCCCTCAATCGGATCTTTGCAACTAATATATCCTGAGTTGTGCAGGTCACAAATGCAATTGCTGAGATTATCTGTCCATTATTTTCTAACCAGTCTATTACCAATCCATGATCGGTGAGATTACAAGTCCATCTACAATTGGGTATTGACATGTATTGACAATATTGTTTTTTTCAAGTGGGCTTCCTGAAGCCATGTTCCTTTTTGGCTGTCGTGTGGGTATGGTTCAAAATGATTGGCTCCAAAAACAGATGATTCAACACTAATACTGTAAGAAGTTTGACCACTATACTAAGTGTTGAATCATAAGAATGCTAAGTATAGTGGTCTTCTTCAACTAATATAAGAAGACCACTGTACTGCGGCTCCATTGCGATCCACTTTCGAATTCTGGCTAATCCAGTAGCGAAGCACCGCCAAAAATCATGGCCATGACGGTGGATCACCAAGGCTTTTGGACCCGTCTTGGCAGAACTTCAAGCCCCAAAAGGTTTGGTTGAAACCTATGAAGATGTTGAACCTCACTGCACCCTGGAGAGTAGGGGGAATCATCCCAACATCACCAAAGATTTTAGGGTGAATTAGTATCATTTAGGGCCTTATTTTACACAGAATGATACATTTCACAGTTCTCGGTTTGTCTGAAAATACATCCCATGGTTTTAGAACATGGTTGAATCTCTGGTTGGTGGTTTCAAACATGTTTGTTTTTTCCATTCCATCTATGGGATGTCATCCCAACCCCATTGACGAACTCTTCATATTTTTCAAGATGGTTATTGCACCACCAAGCAGTTAACATTCCCTGAGTATCAGAGATTGTCCCATATTTCCCCATCTAAAGCTTGATATTACCCTCTGGTAAACGTTTACATAACTATGGAAAATCACCATGTTCAATGGGAAAATTCACTATAAATGGTGATTTTCAATAGCAAACTCTTAGTCATTACCAGATGGTAACCACCAACCAGATCTCAAATTTCCCCCATTTGAAGATCCCCCTGGATGGATCCCCTTGGAAGACCTGAAGATTTTGCGCCCCAGGATGCCGTGGAACGTCAGTTGCAGCGCTTTGCGGTGCATCCCAGCTTGCCAGGAGCACGAACCAACACGGAAAAGCCGAAACTAAAGTGGTCGAATCACTTGGATGATTTGGGGTATAGATGGGTATAGTATATTCCCATTTTAGGAAACTTCTATATGGTGATTTAATATGATTTATATAATCTGGTTGGTGGTTTGGAACATGGCTTTTATGACTTTCCATATATTGGGAATAGTAATCCCAACTGACGAACTCATATTTTTCAGGGGGGTTGAAACCACCAACCAGTGTTTCAAATATGGATGTTTTGGTCCCAAAGTAGATAGAACATGAGTTTTTCAAGGATCTTCCGATGTTCGGAAGATTTGTTGTTGAAATGTCCATCGTCCATCCACTTGAGGATGATTCTGTAGTGAAGATCTGTCAAAATCAAAATTGGTTGAACCCAAGATAAGGAGTCCACTCCTGGGCCTATTAAAGGCAGCCGGTCGACCAGGCCTCCTTCCCAGCGGCAGCGGTAAGCGTGTGGCCGCGCTGAACCTGAAGCTGAAAGAATTGGCGGAAGGAGTTGCGGTTGAAGGCGGCGGTGTTGACCAACAGAAAAAATCCCATAGAATCCATGTATGCTATATATATGGTAACATTTACCATCCATATGCCCCAAATGTTAGTATATATAGCATACATGGATCCTATGGGAATAGAAACCATTGAAACCATCATCTTTTTGAACCTTGGCAAACTCAATTACAAGGAATCAAAGAACTATTCATTGGAACTAGACGCTTGGGATCCCGGTTCGTAACTCTTCTGTGAAAAATCCCAGAGATTTTGCCGTTGGGTAATGTCGCTAAAGCCGATGCCATGGGTATGGCACCCCATAGCCCGAGAATTTTGGATGCTTACGATGACCCCCAGTCATGGTTCCCCGTGTCCAATGATGCTCGCCACAATGACTGTCACAATGTAACTATATACTGTAAGCAGAAAAAACATGAAAAAACACCTGTGGATCCGTTTGGTGTCTTTTTAACCATGATTTAATCCACATGCAGCATATATGTTTAATTCATTTCCACGGTGACTCTCCACTCCGTGGGATGAAACACGTCCCAGCATTGGTTGAAAGGGGAACAAAGAAACGAGGAAAGTTCAGTAGAACTCACCTCTTTTTTGAGGTCTGAAGTTTCAGATGTCAGCTATGTCATTTTTCCATTGTTTTTTCACCAATGGATAGAGTTGCATAGAGGGCTCACCTACATGTTTCACGATCAAAAGGGAAATTATGATATACCAAAGCGGCTCGTCTATGTTATCCAAAGAGAAAATATCTCTTGGTCCCGGCCTTTCTTGTTTCCAGAACTGGATACAATGTGAGGCCCCCCAGTTATAAATTGGTTTATAAGCCCCAGTAACTATATAGTTATAAATAATTACCATAAACCATAGTTATTGGACTTATAAACCAACTTAGCTATCTTGGGGGCCTCACATTGTAGATTGTAGTCATACGACTTAGACTTAGATGCCATTTATCCATATTTATCTCAGTAAAAGTACACAACCAACAAATTCTCAAAGATACTTGGCTGGCTTTGTGAAGGGTGATCCGTTTGCCCGCAATTTTCTGGTGAAAAGAAGAGTTTCGTTCCGAGAGTTGCCGGCACCGCTAGGCTCTCAGCCAAGTTTTTCCATGCCCATTCCATGCCCAAAGATCCATGAAATCCAATTTCCCCACGTTAAATCCCGACATATCTCGAGCCATTCTTCTTGGGTATGTTTTACAGTTATGGCCATTTATATATGAGTTCTAACTGGTTATTTCAATGGGATTATAGATTCCATTTTTATGGGCTTATTTCAGTACTTGGTGGCTCATCCCACTTAGTAAGTGGGTTATAACCCCAGTTATAAGTGGATTAACCCTACTTATCCCATTCATAATTGGGGTTATAACTCACTTACTAAGTGGGATGAGCCACCAAGTACTCATAACACCTTATAACTGGTATGACTCGGGCCGTAACTGTACGGATTTCTCCCCATGTTTTCCACCATTTTTTCCAGCCCCTCCCAAGGTGGTTTCCAAGATGTAGATCCCTTGGCCTTGGCCTTGCTGGAGACAAACCTTTTGGTGCCCAAGTGGCGCCTCGAACTCTCCGAAAAAACACCGGTGATACACCGAAGAGCGTGCTGGATTCACCGAAAAAAACGGGATATGTATGGATATAATTTATATATTTGAATTTTGAGATGAAGCGATTTAGCCATGAAGAACTTCGGATGTAACATGATGATACATGATGTAACCACTGACATTGGATTTCGATGGATTTCGCTTGATTTAGCCAATCAAACATAAGTTTTGTCCCGAAACTGGGGTATCTACATCCAGTTTCTGGCAGTTTTAGTGGGGAGAAATGAGGTTTCTGGCGCTGTCGGAGTTTATTTGGATAGATTTGGATAGCCTATTTTCAGACAAACCAAATATGATTCAAAGGACCTCGTTGCCACTGGACTCACTTTCCAATAGCTGGTCTTAAGCTCTTGGATGCATCCAATGAATCATGTTTTTCAGGCAGGGTGTAAATGATGTTCCCGGGCAACCTTCAGAAAAAGGACTTCTCACAGTTTACCCGGGGTCCCTGAAGGTCCATACAGAGCAGGTTTGTGGGTCCTATCTTAGGCATCCGCGCAGACGCTTAGTGACGCCCAACCAGCTCACACGCTCCTTACTGGCCTCTCGGTTGTTCTGTGGCGAAACAGGAACCGATTTCTTGGAGGTACCTGATATGTGGATCCATCTGGGGTCCTAAAGGTACCCCAAACCATTGATTTTCCCATTGATCATATTCAATGTTGGATGGTTTTGGGGTACTTCAAGGTCTATGAGTCAGGGCTATGTAAGAGAATATAGGCAAGATAGCCATGAAACATGGCTATTTATATGGTACCAGTACCCAAGTTGGATCAGTGCCAGGCGGTTCTTGGGATTTTGATCCCCATGGAGGGTTAGCCCGGCAAGGTCATGTGCGAGTGGGATCCAGTTGGTGGATTTACCCATCAAACACGCAAGATGTGGGTCCCATTCCACAAGTGAGTTTTTAAACTATATCCACATCAACATAACTGGTGATATGACATGTCAACGATCTGGATTGGTATTGGCCGTGATTGTGTGTTTTTCCCCCTAGAAGTCATCCTGTAGTGACTCAAATGGACTCACATGTTTAGCGTTAATTTTGTTTTCTGTTTCATGTGTTGTGTCATGTGTTTCATTATTTATTTTCATTTGTTTCATGTCTTCTTATTTTTTCACGTGTTCATGTTGTTCATGTTGTTGTCATGGTTTCATTTATTTCATTGTGTGCATGTATTTTCATATATTGTCATTCAATTTGTTCTGCAGTTTTTGTTCATTGAACCCTTGCCAATCCAGACCACTGGTGACTGTCAATGGAAGTGACCAGGGAACCAACAGGAACCAGAATTCGGGCTGTTGCCTTCTTTGCAGCTGGGGAAACCAACTGGATACATACAATACCTCAATCTTTTCAGTTTGTGTGGATATAGACATATGCATCTAACAATACTATATACCCTCTGGTAATTTAACATAGCTATTGAAAATTGCCATTTATAGTTGATTTACCTATGAAAAATGGTGATTTTCCATGGTTATGTTAGTTTACCAGAGGGTATATATATATATATATTCTATATATATATATTAACCAGCTAAAAAGATACTGCGGGCTATCCAAGATTGTCACCGCTGGCTGCATGTTGGAGACTTGTAGGAGGCCAGAACGACCGATGTAACGGGTGGCATGGCATCACAGCGCATCACACTCTACAGTGATGACCATGGCTATTAGTTATAACTGGTTATGAATCTATGGGATTATACATAAACCAGAAATGGGGTTTTGTTAGTAGTGATAACTGGTATTTCTGGTAACTCGACTTGTCCATTTTGGATGGAGAGATTTTAGCCAGTGTACTGCGGCTTGAGTCTTTTTCGGCGGTTGTTTGGCTGATGGCTGGAGGCAGCATGCATCCGCAATGCAATAGAGTCATGGCCATTTACCAGTTATAACTACTAACGAAACCCCATTTATAGAATGTATAATCCCATAGCTTCATAACAAGTTATAACTAATAGCAATGGCCACCACTGTAGAAGTTGTCTTGTGTTGAAAACTAATTACCCTCTGGTTGTTTAACATAGCCATGGAAAATGGCTCATTTATAGATGGTTTACCATTTATCATTTATAATATAAGATGGTGATTCTCCATAGCTACGTTAAATAACCAGAGGGTATCCAACATATTTTCCGAACAGAATCTTGTCGGGTTGATTGGAAAACATGCGTTGGATGGTGCCCACAAACGTGAAATGTGAACGTTGGTTTAGATTCACCCCATGCAAACTAGTTCGTGATTTACCATAAACCATAGTTAAACCACTTTTAAGGCAACTGAATGCTATCTTGGGTGCCCCATCCTGTACAATTGGGTATTTGAAGTCATCCCATCATTGTTATCATGATTGGATTGGCTTCACCTGAAGCCAGGTTATACCCTCTGGTAATTTAACGTAGCTATTGAAAATTGCCATTTATAGTGGATTTTCCCATTAAAAATGGTGATTTTCCATAGTTATGTTAGTTTACCAGAGGGTAACTAATAAATGGCCATAACCGCATCTGTTGTATTGTTTTGTCATGTTTTCACCAGACGTTTTCGGACTGATGCACTCGTGACACGTTTTGCGGCTTCCAGGTTGCATGGGCGGATGCTCTCTGCGACTCTTGGAGATTGTGAATGTTTTCAGCGAGCAGCTGGAGAAGAAGGGCTTACAGTTAGTGAGGCCCCCGTTGGATAGCTAAGTTGGTGCAAATAAGTCCAATTTCGCTATGGTTTATGGTATTTATAACGAACTAGTTACTGGGGCTTTTGTTAACCAACATTCACATCACTGGGGGGCCTCACATTGTATGAATCACCAACAAACCAAATCCAGAGGGTTGGTCAACAAACCAACTCCAATAACTATGGTTTGTGGTATTTATAACTATAGTCACTGGGGCTTATAAACCAACAAACATCACTGGGGGGCCCCACATTGTATAGATGGTGGAAGCCCCTGACGATTTTTCATGGGATTGAGTGGGATTACCTCCATGGGATTTCCATAGCGATTTAGATAGTTTTTTGTTGGTGGACATATCTCAGATAACGTGTGGATTTGTGATACTTACATATACTCATGGGATCTGTAAACCAAAAAAAAACACTGGGGGGGCCCGCATTATAGTATTCATGGGGTGAACATAAACCAAGAGACATAACATTTCCCGTTAATTTGGACTTATGTTCACCATCTTAGCTATCAAAATCCCATCAATCCCCATTCATCACCTAAATAATTTAGGTGATTAATGGGGTTTGATGGGATTTTGATAATGGTGAGTTAATGGAATTTAGGCTAAATTCCATTAAAGTCCATTAACTCAAAATTAACTCACCATTTTTGGGTGGCTAAATCACCATTAAACCACGAAGTAACCGTGTGAGTCTGTGATTATCATAGATTCCCCTTGATGAAAAATCCTCAAATTCACCGCAATCGGCCTCGATGCTAAAATTCGGACTCTTCCCGTTGTATTGTACAAATCAATCTTTTGTTTGGGGGATAGCATGTATTTATATATTTATATAATTATATATATATATATATGTGTACACCTACATTTACATATGCATTTCTATTATAATATGATTAATGATATTATATTTATTTGATAATACATATATATATATATTCTATGCAGTATATCCGCAATCGGATGGGCTTAAAGACCAACTTATAAGTGGCCGGGGTCCGTGATCCTAGGAGCGCTTGTCCTTCGGCCAATGGCTGGGTTGTCACCTGCGCTTGTGGGTTGCAAAAATGACTGGTGACTGCTCGGGTTCACGTGTCGCTGGCTTCGATGGGCTACTAGTTGGTTGTTTAACATACGGTAACGACATTTAAATATGAGGGCGGGCCAGACAGCGAGGCCCCGGAGGTAGTATGAAATACCACTTCGTATATTTAAATGTACTTGCCCGTATGTTTAAATGAATTGGATTCCGTATGTTTAAATGGCCGGGCGGGCCAAGGAAAACTTTCCCCCAGATAGTCTAAAATTCCTGTTCGTATATTTAAATGTAGTTACCGTAGCGATGGAAAATTGCCAATGCAGAGATGATATAAACATGTCCACATGATGACTGACCTACTGTGGATGGTTGCAAAATCTTGCACGGTAGATGGTTTATCCTATTATATTCCCACTATTTACAGTGTTTCATACCTATACCAATGGTTACTAACAGCTGCAGGATTTCTTCCATCCACAGTATCAAATAAAACTGGTGATTTTCCATAGCTACGTTAGATTGTCAGATGGTAATATCACACATCACACTGCGCAGGTGTTCATATGATATGGATCAAAACTGGGGTACAAACGATTCAATGGGCCCACCAATTGGGCGTTTTGAACATCATACACACCATTTATGTTGGGTGGGTAATCATATTATATAATAGTTATCCTTATTACTTGATATGATATCTAAATATATCTAAGGATGGTCCTCATCCTCACATGACTCTGTTGTTTTTGAAAGGTTTGGCAAAAATGATGATCTTAAAAGTTCGGATGTGAATGAAGGACCTAACTTAATACGACTGGTTACATCCTGTACAGTAAATCATGTATTAGATATGGTCCCCATGTATATATATATATACTCCCCAGTTATAAGTTGGTTTATAAGCCCCAGTAACTATAGTTATAAATACCATAAACCATAAACCATAGTTATAGTTATAATAGCTATTGAAGTTATTTGCACCAACTTAGCTATCCAACGGGGGCCTCACTAACTGTAGATAGTGTTGCTATGTGTGTTGCTTATGTCCCATGACATCCATGATTTTGTTCAAAAATCCATCCCTATGGATCCAAATACCTATAATTTGGAGGCTTTTTTGTACCTTCTCAGACAGTGGCCATGGATCCATAGGGATATATTTATACATTATGTAGCCTCTGGTTATGACCAACATAGCCAAAGATCCACCATGCTATCAATAGGCAAACCATCTACTTCGATTAGGGCCATCTATACCATGGCGAACTGTGAATGTCATAACCAGAGGCTAATATCCACTATATCCCCTTTAAATCCCTATAAAAATCCCTATAAAAATCCCTATAAATCCCCTATAAGATCCCCTATAAATCGCGCCCCATTCTTGGTAGGCGCATCGTCTCCGACTCCGTGGACGCTGAAGAGTTGCCATCCAGTGGCCTGGCTTTTCCGAAGACCGACCGAAGATCACAGGTCGAAAGTGGTGGCGAAAGCAATAGCTATTGAAAATGGCCATAGAAATAGTGGATTTTCCCATGAAAAATGGTGGATCTTTCCATAGTTATGTAAACGTTTACCAGAGAGTAAATGGTGTTTCAATGGTGATTTAATGGTGATTCAACTAGTGAAATGGTCATTTATGAGTTATACTAATGGTTAGAAAAATAATGATCAATAGTGGTTATTGTAATGGTTAATAGGGTTAATAATGGAAACTAATGGTGATGAATAGTGGTTATTGTTATGGTTTTCTTGTGGTTATAATGGTTATAACTGGTTATTTCAATGGGATTCAACTGCAAAGATCCGAATATGTCTTTCAAGGGCCACCTTTTTTCCTGGGTGAAACCATCAATGGATAAGAAAACTATGGTCCTATGGTATACTATGTTTATTGTGGGATAATATATGACTAGGTTACAACTATGGTATACTATACTTATAGTTTTCTTCCAACTAATTATAGTTATATTACTAAGGACTATGGGCCATGGGTATACTTAATAAGTGGGATGATCCTCCAAGTAAAATCGCTTTCTGGTTGGAAACTGGGGGATGACATTTTCGCCTGAAGCATAAGGATGGGGATATCATGGACACTGTTTCATGGAGATATCATAGACAAAAAATGGGGCCAAGGGATATGTAATATGTTTTGAGCTGGGTAAATTATAACGACCTCACTGTTCTCCCGAACCCTGGAAATCATGGTTAATAAGGGGAATCATCCCCAAATGGCCTTAATTCATGTTAGTGAATTATTATAATTTGCCCAGAATGAGGATATGCTATAACCGGGATATAATGGGCAATATCACGCGGAGACGCTCATGCTTAGTGTTGAGGCAGCAGTTGTTGGTGCGGGGTGTTTTTTTTCCCACACAGATTCTAATAAGAAATTGGATGATTTCCCACGAGCCGTCTTGGCTGGGATGTTCACCCAGCTCATTTTCAGGTTGTTTTGGGTGTTTTATAATCCATGCCAATCCATGTTAATTTGGTTGAAATCAGGCACAGCAAATACAGGGTGATCATCATGTCAAGATTAATTTTGGATGATTTAAGTAGATACGTTCAACGAACCCATAATCTCAGACCGGCTTCCACTCCCACCATACCCTACAGTATCATTGTCTTTGTTGCACAAAGCCTGCAAGGCATCCGATACATTGTCAACCTTAAAGACAAAATACCGTTTTATGGCATGGGTGATTTTGCTCCCAACAAATGACCCAAATGCAAATGCACGCACAATCAATCAAAATCAATCAAACCCATACTTCATCTACGCAATAATAAGATGTAAGTTGATCTAATAGTTTGTTTGGTTCCAAATATTGCATATATATATATATATATTACATTCATATACAATGATATGTTGTTTTCCACTACTATAATACAATAATAACATATATGTATATGTATATGTATATGTATATGTATATGTATATGTATGCGTTTCTTAAGTGACCGGAACCCAGGCTTGCGACAGCGGATGCTTCAAATGCTGGGTAGGGGTGCCGGGAGATCTGGGTCGGTCTTGTGGATGGACATCTGAATAGACATGAGGGGTTTCTAAAGTCATGAACATCCCCAGTCGTCACCATGGTTGTTTCAATCCCTATGGCCCTATGGATTCATGGCCACTGTCTGAGAAGGTACTTAAGCCTCCAAATCATAGTAAATTATACCCCAAACACTTCCTTTCAGAAGCTACGACTGGATCCATAGGGAATACTAAGTCATGATCATCCATGACGACTGGATGATGACTGGGAGTAGCCACGACTGGACAAAACGGTTACACCTCCAAAGAGAGGAGATCCATACATATTTTCTCGTGATGTGAACGAGAGAAGAGAAACAGCATGAAAACATCAGGGAATGGAAGGAATCAATCTAAGTCTAGCTGATGGTTGTTAAGTTTTGGATCAGTTGCCTGCACAACTCAGATTGAAACTATGCACTGCACTAATGGATTGGTGCGGGATCTTCGGATTTTTCATTGGATCATGTTGCAAGGGCCAGAATGTGCAAGTGATTGACGATGGTTGACGACTCTACACTATTCAGGTGCAGCAAAACTCAATGCACAAATGTTCAAGGTCCATGGGTGTTGTTTGCCTTCCCCAAGAACAATTTTCAGGTGGCTGCACGCACAAACCAGTTCATATGATACAGAGGCGCCTTGCACACAATTCAACAGCATACGGATTTGTCTGAAAATAAAGTACTCCAAAACCCAATGGCTTATCATCATTGTCCCGATTGAAATTACCATTCTGGGTGTATACCCCACTTTCAGACCGCGCAGTGTCAACTCAAAACAGCCATGATTGACAAACTGTATAACAACTGAAGTGGGATCTACCCCCAAAAAATACCTGCAAGTGGGGTATAGCCATGACAATACCTGCAAGTGACTATATCCATATATATATATATATACATATATATATATAATATATATATATATATTAAAATCACCGTAAGAAATTCCAAAACCTTGTCAAAACACATGACCAGAAATCACAACACAATGACCAAACAACTCAGAAAATGCCAAGGGTTTCCCCCAAGAAATGATGAACTCGACCCAGGTAGTGAGAGGATTGGTTTTCTGTCGCTCATTGACCAGCTTGCCCGATACCCAGTGGAACAGCGGCGTTTTCAGTGTGACTGGAAGTGGACATTCGGGAGATTTCTACTGGATTCACATGTCAATCCCTCAAGAAAAATCTGTCTTTACTTAGTAGTCATCATAGTTATTCCATGTTATTCCACAGCTATGGCCAGAGTCATACCACTTATAACTACGAACAAGTCACCCCATTTATGGTTTATGTATAATCCCAGTGATTCATAGCCAGTTATGAACAAAAATTGCCATGGTCACTGCAGTGTATGGGGATGGGTCAAAGCACCGGGGACTGGATGATAGATGTGTTCCTCAAAGAGGAAGAAAAGCGGAGAGGAGATAAAACAGGGGGGACGGATGTTCACGGGTGATGTCCGAAATCAGCAGTTTTAATGAGTAAAACATTTAAATCATCTATCAAAGGGCAATGTTCATTCATTTTCCATAGCTGTGCCATATTACCAAAGGGCAACATCTTGAAAAAAATAGAACAGCGGCTTTCTACTGCCCAACGATGCAGTCCGCGCGACGACAGATCTCTAAGGTCCACATGGAGAGGTGTTGGGGTCTTCAGGACTCGCGGGCTTGGTGAGCCCAACTGACTGCTGTTCTACGATATGGCCCTTTATCAAATATAAATGGTGATAAATGGGATTATACATTCCATACATGATGTTATATATAAGTGACTTGCAGCTGGTATTTCGGCATAACTGTCATATGTTCCGGGGTGGCTCAACCACCAACTATATAGAGTTTGTTTTTTGCAGGATTGGGTTAATCATCAGCAATAGATGTGGATACAATCAACAACCAAGCCCGATAAATGATATTTGTAGCAAGGCCAAGTGATCCAAAGATGGGCGAAAGTTGGCTTTAGATTTGGCCAATCTGTTGGTTACTTCCTGCTTACCCTCTGGTAAACAAACAGTTAACTTGAAAATGACCAAGTCGAAAGAGTGGATTTTCCCATGAAACATGGATCTTTTCATAGTTTTCCCATTAACAATGGTGATTTGCCCATGAACAATGGTGATTTTCCATGGTTTTTTGTAGGTTTACCAGGCCGGGTGAAAAATGATCTCCTGAACTCATTGGACAATGATGACTGTCATGACTTTCCCGGTGCCTTTCAGTACAACAGTGGCAAAGTATAACCCATAGGATCCATGGCTATATATGGTAACATTTACCATCAATATACCATCAATTTACCATCGATGATTTTCAGAACAGTGCTTTTTAATGTGGGTAAAACAATAACTGGTTAAATATGTACTACCATCTGGTTATTTAACATAGCCATGGTATAGATGGCCCATAGAAATAGATGGTTTACCTACTGGAATGATATTCAAGTATAATACTGGTTGGTGGTTTGGAACATGACTTTTATGAATTCCATTTCATATATGGGATGTCATCCCAAGCCCATTGACGAACTCCATCATTTTTCAAGATGGTTAAAACATGTTAAAACCACCAACCAGAATAGTATGTTCATTCAGAGTATAGGAAAAAGTATGCAGTGCTGTACGTTTATTCGAATACCCTCTGGTTATTTAACATAGCCATGGAAAATATCAGCATTTTTAATAGCTAAACCATCTATAAATGGGCCATCTATACCATGGCTATGTTCAATAACCAGAGGGTAAATGATGGAACTTGGACAAAAATCTGTGTTTGTCTGAAAATAGGGTATATTCCCAATGAAATAGCCATTTAAAAACGGGATAATGATCAGCAAAACCATTGGGTTTAGGGGTACACAACATTTTCAGACACACCCAAATCTGTGTTGGAGACCCATGACTCCAGCGGAGCGACCGAACTCGACAACGTCACCAGGACTTGGGCTGAGCCTTTCACGGTAAAAAATTCAACGGGCACGGCAGCATTTGGAGATTTTTTTCAGCAGATGTTCGAAGTTGTGTAATGAATACCCAATATGAACTAAAAAAATAACTACAGAAGATGAGTTTTTCATGTTCAATCTGTGATTCATCCAATTATATACATTTAGATGAAGCATTTTCCGTAGCAACCTGTGAGTGAAAACTGGATTTTGTATGTGCTATTTGAATATCTATGTGAATATTAGCGTGTCCTCAAGTTGACTGGATTTCCTTAATTTCTATCTTGGGTGGACATTATGTGGACGTGCGTTCTACTTCTCGCTTGGCGGTCTAGCCTATGGACATATGAGCGACGGCTCTTATTTGCGTATATGGAAAGTAGTATTCGGGCATACCCCGGTTTGTCAAAAACATCATATTTAGCTTGTAAAACGAGGTAGGAACACCCCGAGAACGAGGTAGGCAAAAACGTTACGGGACTGGAGAACGAGGTAGGAACACCACGTCAATTGCGTTATGTACCAAATATGGTTCGCAGCTCATATGGCCATTGCGGGGACCTTTTGATCGTTGGAGGGATGACTAAATTGGTGCCTACCACAAAAAACAAGGCCTGTGTCAGGCCTATGAAAGGGTATTCCCACAACATGTGGCCTTGTATGGTACTAGGTACTGTACCTTTATTGATCCTGAACTTCCCACAACGATTACATTGGTAGGAATACTATATATATACATAAATTTACTCCAGGATTATTTCTGCTGTATGGCATCCAAAAGTGTGATATGTTTTTTTTTTTTCTATAGATGTAGACTGTAGAAACTTGAATTACCAATACACGCTTAAGATCTGTTTGAGGTTGTAAATAGACCACTTATGTATATATATATATATGACAATAAATATATGATCATATGTATTTAGTTTTTAATATACGTATATATATATATATATGATACTGCCCCCCCTCAGTTATAAGTTGGTTTAAAGTTTATAAGCCCCAGGTACAGTAGTTATAAATACCATAAACCATAGTTATTGGACTTATAAACCAACTTAGCTATCTTGGCGGCCTCACATTGTAATATATATATATATATGTATGTATGATCATATATAAACATATGATAATCTATATCATATATATATATATCATATATATATATACATATGATCATATATATATATATGTATGATCATATATATATATATATGTATGTATGATCATATATATATATATGATCATATATATATATATATACACATATTATATATATAAACATATCACATATATATACATATCATATATATATATATATATCATTATAAAGCCAATAATATACCATTGCAACTTTGGTTTGATCTTGGGTATACCGCCATGTGCGATGTAACTCGTGCCCACTGGGCCACCTTTGTGCCTTGGGGAAGACTTGGTATGATATGTTTCACAACTAAAACGGCACAATCATATGGGAAAATGGTATAACATCTAGTATAACATCTAGTCTGATTCTGTGAAGTTTTGACTAATATATGTTTGCTGTAATATACGTCAACACATGGCATAAATAAAGCATGTTCCCAGCGATAAGACTCCATGAAACTTGTGGATTTTCCGTGTTTCCCAGGTGGAATTCTAAGTCGTTGCCACTGATTTGTGTCCTCAAAGATGGCTTGCTACCGAAGGATGCCATCATTTCGTCATCTATTTATCGAGGCCACGTTTGATGACCGAAGGTTACTCCTAATTTTGTGTGTTACACCCAAAAGTCATGTGTATAAACTCACCGCAGACAACAAGTTTGTGTACCCAAGTAGCACCGGCATGAACGTTCGGAAATCTGGGTCCAACGACCGAACTCTGACTCCATCTCGAGTTGAAGTGGAACGCACGGCATGCGACAGGCGTAGAGCTCTCATGCGGTAGGTGGAAGATGATATAAGTCGTTTGCTGCAGCTATGGCCCGAGTCATACCAGTTATAAGTACTGAAATAAGCCATAATAAGCCCAGAAAATAGAATGTATGTATATATATATATAATCCCATCTAAAGTCTAAATAACCACTTATAACCAATAAATGGATAAATCTGGATTTTTTTATGGCCATAACAAAAATAACTGTAGCAGTTGCCAGTTCCTCAAAATCGGGTCAACCAGTTGGATGACCGACCAATATATGGAGGTTTTAACCAAGGCCACGTTTGACCTGAGGGGAATCATAAATGGCAACGCCAACAAACAGAAATGATGGCCAGATAAATGGCTTCACTAAGTGATGGATAGTTTTCATTGATGTTAAATGATGTTAAATGTTTTTTTTTTACAAGATTTGTTTCAACACATGTTTAATGGTTAGATAGTTAAACTTAAACAATGAGAATCATTTTGTTTAACTATCCATTAGCCTAGAAGTCGTTGAAGTTGTGGTCCTACATTTTGAGGTCAGACTTTTAGGGTTATTTGCAAAACATGACCTGCTTGGGTTTATTCCCATTGACGTCAAGGATTTTGAGTACGAACTACCCTCTGGTAAACGTTTACATAACTATGGAAAAATCACAATTTTTAATGGGTAAATCCACTATTTCTATGGCCATTTTCAATAGCTATGTTTGTTTACCAGAGGGTAATCTTTTGCCATAGATGGGGCTATGTTAGCCTGGCCAGCGAAAGTCCTAAGACCAAGCTGCCAGTTGGGGCCCCCAAACGACAGATATGTTACCCGCAAAAAAAAATTAGATTCAGAGGTGATTTGCTGGGATTTATTGGGATTTAGTTTGCTAAGTTGATTTGTAACTTCAAGAACTATAGCTGGTTGGTGGTTTCAAACATTTTTTATTGTCCATTTCATATATGGGATGTCATTCCAACCCCATTGACGAAGTCCATCATTTTTCAAGATGGTTATTGCACCACCAACCAGATACTGTAGTTTATGGATTTGTTCATGGATGTTTATGGTATATAGATAGAACTACCCTATGGATCCAAACAAACTGTCTGAGAAGGTACAAAAAAACCTCCAAATTATAGTAAATTATACCCCAAACACTTCCTAAGAAGGTACTTGGATCCATAGAACTACTTCGTAACTTTGGACCCTTCAAGATCAAATGTGAGTTATAGGGATTTATAGGGGATATATAGGGATACCATGAGGATTTCTAGGGATTTATAATGGTTTATTGGGATATATTGGGGATTTACCCCTGGTAAACATACAAAAAACTATGGAAAAAAACACCTTTTTAAATAGATAAATCAACTATTTCTTTGGGCGATTTTCAATAGCTATGTTAAATTACCAGAGTTTTAGATCCTCCGAGTTTCTTAGGGAACTGATCTTCCGCCCTCCGGCTGTATTTTATCGACCAATTTATGGATGACGTTGACTGAAACATCGTTCAACGCTCCCGTTTCACCCGCCGAGAAAATGACATTTTCAGGCCAATGATGTGCCCAAAAGGAGCGGCCAAGCTAGGGCCGGAGAAACCGAGCGGAGCGTTCTTCCGTCATAGATGGGGAATGCAATGCCAACTTACCCTTTGGTTATTTTAAATACCCTCTGGTAATTTAACATAGCTATTGAAAATGACCATTCATGGTGGAATTGTCCATTAAACATGCTGATTTTCCATAGTTATGTAAACGTTTACCAGAGGGTAGCTCTGGAAAACGGTCCATTTATAGATGCCTGATGATGATGATGATGGTGATGATCATGATGCATGTACCGATTAAGAACGGTGATGTTCCATCGCTACGATAAATAATATACATTAAATGACCATAGGGTAAGGCTCCGGTCAGGTCATCGTCATTGCATTTCGAGGTCTCTTCGATCCATTGGCGGTCCATTCAAACACAACCTTGGACCATTGGACTATGTGCAATAACGTTGTTAAAACGACGATAAGAGACCACCACATGTTTGATTGTTTATACCACCCATTTATGGCAATTTATGGTAAACTTGGGGATGGTTTATTATTGTTTCAAATACACAGGGGAATTCAGAGCAAAGATGTTCAAGATGTGCCATAGTCGCGCGCTGAGTCGGTGGTTCGATTTGTTTCGATTATCATGTATTAATGCTTCAAAACTGATTCAACAACATGCAGCAACGCATCTCAGCATTGTTTTTCATGAATACCTTGGATGATCGTTATTTGTGGCCGGTGCTCCATGTATATTCACATTCTTGTACATGGTAATGTATGGTATACATTGGTATACGTATATACGAACATTTACCGCGCACATGACCAAGTCATGTAGTCATGTAGTCATGATGCAAGCACCATGGAGCATATGGGATTGTTTCGCGCCCTTTGGGGAGCTGAGAAATCCTCCCGGAAAGTGTTGTGGCTCACAATTGAAGATCGCTAATCAAGATGGGATTAGATGATTTAAATAGAGGAACACCATAGGAATCTCAAGTGCGTGCGACATTCTATGACACTCCAAACTGCGGTATCCTTTTCCTGTAAGAATGAGGCAACATCGCAGTTCCTCAGAAAAAAAAAACTACGTACAGAGCAGCCAAGATCCACAACCCTGCCTTTGAGCTGGTGAGCTCTGGCCCGACCCCAATGGGTGCAGATTCAGACGTCCTTTCATCAACCTGAACACTGAACTATCCTTTTGTCAAAGATGACGGCGCCCCCACCCAATGGCGACGCACAGGCAGGAGATTCATGTGAAACATCCGAGGGTGGTGATTAATAATCGTGGTTACGAGTTACTTACATTACAAGTTGTGTGTTTTTCCCGCTGGGAAATCCACCATTTAGGGAATCTATAGATATATATATATAGAGAGATTTTGGTTTGGAGCCATTTGGAGCCCCTTAAGCAAATCCAAGCTTAGTAAATGGATTCAACAACAGTTCTATACTTGAGTTTGGAAGCGCTATTTGGGACTGGACGTTGACCAGCAAGTTACTTCTCACCGTTCAGAACATCACAGCATGCGGATTCACCCCAAAAATTGAAATGATTCATACTTGGTGGCTCATCCCACTTAGTAAGTGAGTTATAACCCCAGTTATAAATGGGATAAGTAGGGTTAATCCACTTATAACTGGGGTTATAACCCACTTACTAAGTGGGATGAGCCACCAAGTAAGCCCTTATTTTCCGGTGGTTCTTGGGCTTCAACATGGCCTCCACAGCCGCCCCATGTCGTTTATGGAGCTTATGGGCCCCAAAATCTGAAGCGGCTGAAGTGTTCATGGAACCCATCATGTTCCATCATGCGTATACTTCAAAAAAATGCAAGTTTGTGATGTGGAATCACATAAAATCATATAAAAATATATAAAATCACTATTTTGGATTTTGACCAAAGTTTTTTTTTGTGTGTGGGTTTTCCTCTATATCCAGGATAGGATGTCGTAGGCTTAAATGCTGTGCTGGGAGAGAGTGGTGATAAGAAAGAGGATGACAAGTCAGTCGACAAGGACGAAGTAGATAAGAGGGAGCGTAGCCCTCGTAGATCCAAGAAAGCCAAGCTAACAGACTGGTTGGTGGTTTGGAACATGAATTTTATGACTTTCCACATATTGGGAATAATCATCTCAACTGGCTTTCATATTTTTCAGAGGGGTAGGTATACCACCAACCAACAGAGAAAGAGGAGCGACTCTTCGATGCAATCTCCAAAGGATTTGAGATGACGCAGCAATGTGTCCCCACAATCAAGGAACATTCTGCTGCCACCAAGTCACGCCAAGAAGACTTGAAACAGATCGTTCCTGAAATCAATGCCAAAACCTGGTTGGTGGTTTGGAACATGTTTATTTTTCCATATATTGCTAATAATAACCCCAAATGACTTTCATATTTTTCAGAGGGGTAGGTATACCACCAACCAGATACATGTTGGTGCGACAAGTCTGAGCACATGGAGAATGTCTCTTGGACCTTGAAAATAGGCTCTTGAGGCCAATACGTAAGTGAAAAACATCCTGAAGCAGCGGCGTTGTCGTCACAAAAGACACATATGGTACATTGATTCACTCCAAATTAGTTAACTGTTCATTTCCATCTGCCTTACCTGCTACCACATAAGATTGGACAAACAACTTATTTGTTTCGCAAAAACATGTTTATGGGAAAAAATCTGGAGAGGCACAAGGTACATTTAGTACAGTTCAAGCCCTTTGCCAGTTATTTTTATGGTTATAAATTGTTAATGGGGTTATCATTCCATAAACATGGTGACCTACTGACTTGTAGCTGGTAATGGTCCAAAACGGTCTGGGTATCCTAAGTTATCATATGCTTTCCATACATCACCCTGAATATCACATTATATCAATCCCTTAAATTCATATCTGTAGTAGCTAAAAATGCCTATGCTAAATGTTTTATCATGTTCAAATACTGAAGTAAGTAGGTATAGCTTGTAGAGTTTAGCTATATATATATATATACATACACATACATGTAGATACATATATATATATATATGTATGTACGTAAATATAGTACGTGATAGTTAACTTTACAGTTCCATCTACATGAATCTTCCACTCGCCTCTTAGGCGATCGGTCGCCTGAGGGCAGATTTGGATGGCGCAATGGGTGTCATGTCCGGGCCCCTGGACATGCCACCGGGGTCAGAATGGCTTCTAGACACCGTTACGTTGGTAAACAGACGTTATTTGGCTGACTAGAGTTTATACTTGGTCGTGAACTACCCACGAATCGTTTTTGTGGGTTATAACTAGTTATAACCCCAGTTTTTTGAGTGGATTAACCCTACTTATCCCATGCAAATAACTGGGATTTTATTTGGCTGACTAGAGTTTTTAGGGGAATATCATGTATGAGTCAACCAATAACTAGGGTTGCCACCTTGTACTGTAATAATATTTAATATGTCAATCCTTTGCCATAAATGGATATACCTGGGGAATTATTCAATACGCCCCTCCCAATTATGCAAGTTGGTTTGCAACCCCCCCATTAACTATACTTACATCCCCCATAGAGCCTAGATAAACTACTTATAAGCCAACTTAACCATTAACTCTAGTTCAATCTACTATAAACCCCATGAATACTGTTTTATATATATATACATACCCCACTGCTATTGGATTTATGTTCACCAAGTGAACTATTGACCCTCCAGGGGGTTGATTCAGAGGGCCGAGGGAAAGGATGGTGGAGCGAAATAACGGAGCTGCTGTGTGAAGTTTAGTTCGTAGGGGGGATTAAATGGGGATTGGGATTTAATGGGACTTAAGTATACTTATCAAACATGCTGAGTAGGAAATCCTCGATCAAAATGGAGGTTTTGTTCTTTATAGGAAAACCATCAAAGTAAACAGTGGTGGCTTTTCCAGCTTTGAGAACACTGCAGGGACCCTCAAAATCATCCAAGTTACTTGTTGTATTCTAGGAAACCAATGGTGTCAGGTACCGCCATTTTGATACCCATACGTCGTGGTTTTCCGGGGGAGTGGTAAGTTGGTTTACTTTGGTTTACTATGTTTACTATATGACTCCTTTACAAACTTTTTGCATCAACTGATTTCGAGGTTTCTTAAGTCATGGTGGATCCCCAAGTAGTTTCAATACTAAATCATGGTCATCCATGATGACTGGATGATGACTGGGGGTACCTTTCATGATTTGTTGGACCCAGCTCTATTCTGAGGCGTGACAACATGCGGAATATGGCAGAACGTGATGTTCAACTCCAAGATCTTGAAGGTGCTGGCCGTGGAGAAAATACCTCTGTTGATGGGTGAACATCTTCATAAATTACATTAAAGTTTGGGTTTATACTAAGTGCCTTTCTTGGGGATTATGAAGTAACCAAATCTAACTAAGCCATTTTATAGGAAAATTTATGAACCAACTAGTATAATGAGATGGGATAGGGGATCGAGTTGGGATATTTTTCATGGTCGAGTTGCTTTGGAATCGAAAATTGGACCTGGCAATGTTTTATTTTCCTTTGTTCGATGCATATTTCATTCATCGTTTGCACTCATCGTTTAGCATTGAAAATTGGGGATACGTCACTGAAATACATCGCTTAGCATTTTGAAGATGTCATGGCTACATTTCATGGTGACATAATGTGATATACCATGTTTAAAATGGGCAAACAAAAATAAACAAAAAGCCAGGTCATTTCAGGTCAGATCAACTGGACGTCATGGGGATGTGTCATGACATCTGGGCGTTGAGGTTGAGTAACATTCGGAAGGATTTGAAAGCATAGGGCCATAGGGATTATTACAGTGACTATCATGTTAGTTCCATTCCAGGCAGCACTGTAGATATGTCGTCTAGACCTCTCATTTTTGATAAGAAAGGAACGGGGTTGCAGTAACCTGTAAGGTGCTTGGAATGAAAAGAAAGGTTGACTTACCCTCTGGTAAACTAACAGTTTGCTATTGAACATGGCCATAGAAATAGTGAGTTTTCCCATTAAAAATTGTGATTTTCCATAGTTGTTTTGTTAGTTTACCAGAGGGTAACCATATCTTGATCCTGCTCCATTTTGAGGGGAGGCCATGGCTTTTCCACATCGTAAACGTTTACCCTACAATCGCCCGAGTCATAGCAGTGAAATAACTACTGAACTAACCCCATTTATGGTTTATGTATAATCCCATCTAAACAAGCATTTATAACCCAATATACGGATAATTGGATATATGGATTAATGTATATATAATCCCAATGATTCATAGCCAGTTAGAACTAATAGCCATGGTCATCACTGTAGGGTATGTAAGCAGCGTGATGGACTCTGAGGATCAGAAGCACAAGCCAAATTTAGAGGATGGCTCCATGATCTTACGCTTTATAACTAATTGGTGGTTTGGAATATGGCTTTTATTTTTCCATAATATATGGGATAATCCTTCCCATTGACTTTCATATTTCTCAGAGGGTTTGAAACCACCAACCAGAATAACAATATATGTGTCCAATATTTTTCACAACAGACATATATACACGCACATACTTGTTTTTTCAGTCCCAGCCTGTTTTGAAAGATAACGCGCCAGGCAAAAGCAACACACTTCACGTGGTGCGCCCGCTGTCCGCGGGGGCTGGGTGCTAGCGACTTCCGTGAACTGATGCCTGTTTTCGTGCCGCCTTTGAAGGGAATAAATTTGATCCTAACTGATAGAATAATCATGAAAAATCCAAGTTATTTACTTATCAATGATTCATGTTACTGTTGACAATTACTTGATATTATCACTTATTTACTCATCAATGATTCATTCAATTTACTTAATAATCATGACAAAAACAAGTCCATTACTATGATTTTTCAGAGGATTTACTCATAATTATTGAGTAGTCGTTGAATAATTAATTTACTTAGTAATCATTTTTTACTAATCGGATAATTATAAATTTAGCGGTCCACAGATTTGTCTACCAATGGTTCCTCTCGGTATTTTTTATGTTCCCAGTGATGGATGGGCAGCTGATCAAGCTGAGTGGAAACCGTCAGCGGTGACTGTCATTAATGTCGACTTGTCGACTTTGTTTGACCCCAGTGAAAACGTAGTTTTTTTACCCACGTTTTAATATCTGCTTGGTGGTTTCAAAGATGTTTGGAACATTTTCCATAGTTATATATATGTTAAAACCATAGTTAATATATGGGATAACATCCCAAATATCCCATAGTTAATACATGGGATGTCATCCCAACCCCATTGACGAAGTCCATGATTTTTCGGGTGGCTCAAAACCTGGTTTCAACCTGGTCGACCTGTCATAGTTGGTGATATCCCTAGTACCTAGGCGCGTCCAGGTAGTGGCCCCCGTTCTGGATGTTTACGGTAGATATACCCTCTGGTAATGACTAACAGTGTGCTATTGAAAATGGCCATAGAAATAGTGGATTTACCCAGCTAGAAAATGGTGGATCTTTCCATAGTTATGTTAGTTTACCGGAGGGTATGGTTTATGGATGTTTACGGTAGATATATTTATTGGTGCTATTGTTAATGATGTATCTATTGATCCTAGACGCAAGGTGGTAGATTCTGGTAGATATAGTCATTGATTCTGTTGTTCATGGGGTTGAATGATATATCTATTGATCCTAGAATGCAAAGTTGGTGAACATAACTCCAAGAACGATGGTTTCTGTTTGATATATGTATAGTATTAACGGGCTTGATATACCAACAAATAATTCGGGGGCCTCACCAACTTAAGTTGGTGAACATCACTCCAATAACTAGGGGTTTTCTTGGGGATGTATACATAATGTATATTGATATATATACTACAGGGATTTGTAAACCCACAAATGATACCACTATCCCATTTATATATAGATATATACATACATACACATTTATTTATAATATATAGTTTTATAAACATTAATTATGATATATTGCAATGTCTGAGTACAGTTGGTTACTTTTTATTAATTGCATAAGCAATCTGGGTTTATAGTAGAGACCCTCTGGTAAATTAACATAGACCCTGAAAATAAGCATTTGTTTGTGGTTTCACTAATCTTCCAACCCCTATTTGCCAGGGTCATCATGTTAATTTACCAGAGTGTAACTATAGTCATTGGGCTATATAACTATAATTATTGGTCTATAAAACTATAGTGTACCTTTCTATATGACTAGAGTCATTGGTATAAATAAATGTATATATATATATATACATCTAGTCATAATAACCCACATACTGTATATAGTTATATGCCATTGGTGAAATATCTACTAAACATCTTGACTATAGTGATAATGTCATTGGGCTTTATAACCCATTTGGGTTATATATACAAAGTATCATATTTGGGTTATGTATAGCTACCCTCCGGTAAATTATAGTAACCCTATTGCAACTATAGTTTACCTTTCTATATAACTAAAGTCATTGGGCTTTACACTACTATAGTAAAATATATAACTTGCATGGGGCTTTACTATACGTCACCTACTTTTATAGCCTTTTCTTTGTGATTATATATAGTATAATAATTGGGCTTTATAACTATAAATATAAGTGTATATATATAGTAGATCTAATTACACGCAGACCCTGAGGTGTGCCCAAGCCCAGAATAGTGTAAATACCAGGGAATTATGTACCACAGTGTGACGTCAAACAACGGGAAGGATTTTATGTTCAGTTATGTTGCTAGGGTGTCAACCAGAACATGTTGCTTCTGCATATCGTATACCAGAACATGTCGCTTCTACATATCATATCGAATTGACCATACAGTCATTAGGGTTCTGATAGGGTTTCAAGCAGCTATCAAATCTCTCGGCCCCATGGAACAATTAATCATACAATCATTAGGGTTTCTTATACAGAACAGGGGACTATGAGAGTGCATTGTTTCTGCATATGATTTAGTTTAGTGACCTCATGTGTTTCTGGTCACAAACCATATGTGTATATACAGACATATATATTCTTCATTGGCAAATTCATTAAGCACAATCAATTTCTTCAAAGTTGTTTGCACTTTGCTCTTCTGCGTTGCAAAAAAAACAACAACAATTCTATGTCTCAACCAATCATGGACCTCCATTGACTTTTTTTTGTTTTTGTATAGTGAGTTGGATGCCAAAGCAGAAGAGCAATGTGCAGACAGCATTGAAGAAATTGATAGATTTTTTCGGGTTTTTCCAACTTCTGCCCAACATTTCCAAAACGCAATGGAAATAAAAACAAACCAATGGAGGTCCATGAGTGGTTGACCCATATCTACTCAGTCACACCTCATGGATATCATGCAGGTGTGCATGTTTTGTTGATTTTCTCATGGTTTGGGCACCCTCCCAGAAAGTTACTTGAAACCATGGGAGGAAATACATCACAGCCAAGACTTGAAAATATAATCAGCAAACAAGTTTCAGCATGGCCTTTGACATTTGCTTTCAAACCCTCCAATACATGCATTGTGTAGCAAGATTGTTTTTCCCGAGAATATGACATTCCTAGCATAAAGTCACATATTTCCTTGCATAAAGTGGCATGATTTGTGCAGTCCCCTTACATAAGGGAGTGCAGCATTTATTCGACATGAATCCAAAGTCATGTTCATAGAGACAGCTGTGCAAAGCTCCTTTAAAGAAGTAATGGGAAGAAGGACAACAATATGTCAAAGTGGAATCCTTTGAGTACCTGTTTTAAATGAATATGGTCTTCCTTAAAGAACGTGTTGGTGCCACTATGCACAAAGCTTCCTATATACCTTTATAAGGCTGTGAACCGATTGATTGAAAAATATGCAATAATATACATATTCATTATTGTGAAGTAGACATGTATGTATATAATACTTTTGGGAAGAGACATGGTTGCATGTATGCATTCTGCCCTTCCATATGAGTGAAACAACAGAACAAAACAAGTTGTCAGTTTTAAGAAGTGGAATATTTGCTTTTAAAGCAAATGTTATGCAAAAAAATGATGGTGAGGCTTAACCTCATTAAGGATGTTATTTGTTCACATATTGTATTTCTGCAATAATATTGCTTTTTTATTTCAGTAATTATCGTGTCTTCAAGGCAACTCGTTTGAAGAAGTGGGGTCTCTCCGTTAAAAGCAAATGCCATGGAGAAAAAATGAGAATGAGGCTTAACCTCATTAAAGGATGCATTGCATTGTTCCACACATTATAGTTTTCTTGCAAGAATATTGCTTATTATTTAAGGACATATAAGGCAGACTGCAACCTATAAGCAGCATGTTCCTTCAACAGTAATCTTTCTTGTTGCAAGGAATGCTGCAATGTGCATCGACCATTGCACCTTTTGACAGCAATACTGAATGTCAATCACACACTGCATGTTGCGTAGGAATCTGATGTTTTGAAAGACATACTGACATACTGTATGATTGAAGGCAGGCTCAATATTACTATGAATGGAAGAACGACCACACTTCTACAGAAAGGAATGCTGTATGTTTACAGGACTGGTTTATATGTTGTAGGGATACTCTTTCTTGAAAGAAGTAATGCCTTGCCTTGAATGACAATTGCAGCTTATAAATGAAAGGTCTATTTTGAAATTAGTATTTTTGCCAAGGCAACACTATATCTGATAGATGAACGCTCATAATGTGCATGGGTGCTTAAAAGGGTTGCATATGCAGCTGTTTCAAAATGGTTTGGCTTACTAGGGTGTAGTAATCTATCAGTACTGTTTCCCCTCCACCGACTATTTGTAATTTTTACTGATTTGCTTGGCTTGTGGCATTTTTTTTGGATGAACATCTTGGTAGAGACATCAGGCATGATGATGTGCATGAAGAATTAGCACCAACATATTGTAAAACTAACAAAAAAACGCATACCCACAACCCCCCCCCCCGCTCTCTTCTTATAGGGTTTCAAGAAAATATCATCATCATCATCATCATCATCATCATCGTCATCATCGTCATCATCGTCATCATCGTCATCATCATGGCTTGCCCGGACGCTCGTTGCGAGTCTGGGCAAATGTTTGGATCTTGCGCCATATAATTATAGCAGATACACATGTGGAGGTTTTCTAAAATAGGGGTACCCCCATTGATGGAAACCCGTGTATAACTATATATATAAAACTATAGATAGGTATAACTATAGTAGATATAACTAGAAGTATATATAGTATATATATATATACATATTTCTCTATAGTAACGGTTAAATCTACTATAATGTAATTGGGTCTTTATAAGTCATAGATATACTATACATATACGATTATATATAGTACTATGATAACTATACACTGTGGGCCCCCAGGATAGCTAAGTTGGTTTATAACTTCAATAACTTGGATTTATGATACTTATAACTAAATTTATTGGGGTTTATAAACCAACTTATCACTAGGGGGGGGCACATTATATATCGATATACACATACATGTATATATATATTATATATATATATATACACATGTATCATTGGCACAAGTAGGTTAAGTTGCATATCTGTTGGCAGATTCATTTTTCAGCTCTATGTAATCTATGTGTATGCAATGTATGAATGATAAGGAATTTGAAAGAACAAAACACAACACAGATATATAGGTATATCCATATTTCTAGGTACTATAGTCTAGTGTTATAGAGTTTTATTATATCTGCTATATGATAACTATCCATATATAGACAACTAAAGTCATTGATATAACTGTAGCCATATTAACCCAACATACTTATATGCCATTGGTTTACCGTAATTTTAGATACATAGTTATAACTATAAAATATATAGAAAGGTAAACTATAGTTTTATAGACCACTAATTATAGTTATATAGCCCAATGACTATAGATATACCTACTATAGATATACCTACTATTAGATATACCCATACTATCCATAGATAACTATAGTAGATATAACCCAAGATCACGAGGCCGCTGCCAGGCCTCGGGCACGTTCAGCGCCCATGCCACGCGCTTGCGCAAGGAACAGGAGTGGCAGAGGCGCGGTTGCCCGGCCACTGGGGAAAATGGCGGCCTTCATGGGATTTCCATGGGATTTCCACGGGATTTTACGAGGATATCATGGCGATAAAAAAATGTGATTTAATGGGATTTTCATGGGGTTTAGTGATGTTTTATGGGTGATTAACGTTGATTAATGTTGATTAATCAACCATCATAAATCATAGGCTGTCATGTCAGCAAAACAATAGTAAACTATCCAATTTTTGCCATAAATTGGTGGGATTCCAGCCGCGATGTATGCGATGTTTATGATTGCTTTAGTAGTATTGTAGCCTATTATGGTTGATTGATGTTGATTGTAAGTGGGCCATGTTCAATAGCTACACGGCTACACCTGAGGGTTTTTTCACACAGAAACAAACGTGCAAAACCAATGGGTTCCCTACGGAAACGATCTACTTTCATGGTGGGTTTTCCTACAGAGTTCTCCAGGGAAAATGCTGGACTGGAAAAAGGTTAACAATGGTACAATGTGAGGCCCCCAAGATAGCTAAGTTCGTGCAAATAACTCCAATATCTATGGTTTATGATATTTATAACTATAGTTACTGGGGCTTATAAACCAACTTATAACTGGGGGGGCCACATTATAGAAATCGCCAAGAAACACGATGGTTTTCGAAGGGAATTTTCTGATGGGGAGGGGTTCAGGAACATGTTCTACAATGGTCCAAACATGGGTATTCAACCAATGAATGATGGAACCTGAAATTCTAAGGTCCGGTAAAAAAAACCTGAGGAAATGTGGGAGCTTATGACCAAATGTGGGAGTATACTGTAAATCATAATTGATTCGTCCTCTTGGGATATGAAAACATGGGATATTTCGGCATTCTGTACCTGGGGACGGAGAGGTGCAAGACACGTTTGGCCATCATCTCTGTCGTCCTTTTCCTGGCGCGGAATCTGAGAAAGCTGCAACCAGACGGTAGGTGGTGCCCCCACAGCTTTGTTTGTTCATGAATTATAAAGTTGATAGCCCTAATCAGATCTAGTCAGTAGGTCAACAGTTACTTTTTGTGATGTTTACGAACTTAGCGATCTCTTCAACAGGGGGCTGCACCTTGTGCTACAAAATCTACAAACACATCACTGATAATTCGGGGGACCCAATTGGAAATCCACCTTTCTAGGGGAATCAATTACATACGGGGTATCCTTAAGCAAATTCGAGCAAACTCTCAGTTTACCTTTCATGATTTGAGAGTCTTATGCTCAAGTTACCGATATAAGACATTGTTATTTAACCCGTTGGAATACGTTCACCATATTTCACTGAGGAACAAGGGTATATCAACATCTAGGTATGTCAATGGCATCGACTTGTTCCCTGGCTACTGCATCGATCCACAACATCCTTTCATTGTTGTTGAAGTTCGATCCATCAAGATGGATGAATCATGATGAAATCAATATATCCAAATTCACTTATGTAATTAAACATGTTCTTCTTATTTCTTGAAGTATTTGAGTTTCACTATACAGACTATACGACCTGACACGGCTTTATATAGATGCTGCATTTCGTGGTAGTACCCCGGCATTCCGGGCGGCAATGGCCGCAGATTTGGATTCTGATCTTCATCTTCATTGGCGAGCGCATGACCTTCCTCATCATCAGTATCTCGATGCCGTGTTTGCCGTGTTTCACGGTGCCAAGGGTAACACAAACAATGCTTTCAGGTTAAGTTGATAAACATCACTAGGCTAACTGTTGGGTTTATAGTAGATATATATCGAAGTAGTAAATGCTGTGACTGGAGGGCGCTCCCCAATGTGGTTGATCGATTTGGGGATCCATCCCAAAAAACATGTAAGACTGTGCTACTGACTATCCTACAATGTGAGGCCCCCGTTCGATAGCTAAGTTGGTGCAAATAAGTCCAATAACTATGGTTTATGGTATTTATAACTATAGTTACTGGGGCTTATAAACCAACAAACATCACTGGGGGGCCCCACATTGTAATCATTTGTGTTGCGCATATGGATCTGTCTCAAGACGAGGGATGCCACAACACGGCCATTTCCCCTTAAGCGAAGTATATGATTGAAATGGGGTACCGTTTTTTGACACAACCTGGCATGAATCTTAAAGCTGCATGACCTTTCTCTGGAATGCATGTACCTTGATTTTCACTGGTTCGAAGCAGTGGAAAATAACGACTACTGGGTGCGAGTATATATGTTTCAAATGGCTTTCATATATATATATGTGTGTGTGGTTTCCCCCCAAGACCTACCTTTCAAGTAAATTTAGTGGTATTTACAGTGTTTTTCTTAACATTTTGAACTCTAAAACTTAGGGCCTTTTTTTGGTGATCAAAAATTGCATTTTTTTGCAATTTTGTTCCCATCCCACCCTTCCCTAATTACATCGGATCCAAGATTCTAGATTCAAGATCCCAAAAAGACTTCTTGAATCCAAGGGGGTAGGGTTCAAGCTTCAAGATTCAAGATCCCAAAAAAACTTCTTGAATCCAAGGGGGTAGGATTCAAGATTCAAGATCCCAAAAAGACTTCTTGAATTTAAGGGGGTAGGGTTCAAGCTTCAAGATCCCAAAACAACTTCTTGAATCCCAGGGGGTAGGATTCAAGATTCAAGATCCCAAAAAGACATCCTGAATCCGAATCTTGAATCCAAAGAGGTTGGACTGAAGAAGTTTTTCCTGAGCCTTGAATCTTGAATTTTGAATCCAGATACTTAGAATCATACCAGTAGTACCGCACAAGGGGTGGCGGAAGTTTCGAAAATAGGAAACCTGTAGGAGAGGTTGGTTGTTGTGAATCACGGATGGCAGAGCGAATCCACTGATGGACCGAAAGGTGGTTGGAGTTGTGATTTTTTTGGAATGGTTGCGCTGCTTGCAGTGGTCACCTCACCACAACTGTTGGATGTAGTGTGGTGTAGTGCAGTTGCAGCTGCTGTTGCAGTGTAGCGTAGTGGAGTTGTAGTTGTAAGTTGTAGTTCTAATGTGATGTAATTAGTGTAGTTTCAGTTGAAGTTTCAGTTGTAGTTGTGGTGTGGTGTTTTTAGTGTAATAAATTGTAGCGTATTGTAGTGTACTGTAGCGTTGTGTACTGTAGTGTGGTCTAGTGTAGTGTAGCCTAGTGTTGTGGAGTGTAAAGTCGTGTAGTTGTAGTTGTAGTGTATTGCACTTAGTGTAGTGTAGCATAGTGCAATGTAGTGGTAGTTGTAGTTACAGATGCAGTTGTAGATGTAGTGTAAGGTAATGTAATTAGTGTAGTGTTGTGTTGTGTAGCGTTGTGTTGTGTAGTGTTGTGTAATGTGGTGTAGTAGTTGTAGTTGCATGTATATTTGTAGTTGTAGCGTGCTGCAGTGAAATTAGTGTAGTGCAGTGTAATCTAGTGTAGTTGTAGTTGTAGATTTGGTAGTGGTAGTAGTAGTAGCAGTAGTAGTAGTAGTTGTTGTTGTTAGTAGTAGTAGTAGTAGTCGCAGCAGTAGTAGTAGTAGTAGTAGTAGTAGTAGTAGTAGTAGGAGTAGGAGTAGGAGTAGCCGTAGCGGTAGTGCCGTCGTAGTAGTAGTAGTAGTAGTTGTTGTTGTTGTTGTTGTAGTTGTAGTTATCTGTCTATCTACCTCATCTATCTACCTACCTATCTATCTATCTATCTATCTACCTATCTACCTGCAAGCTTGAAAAGGCAGCTATTTTGCGAGACTTCCTCAGTTATTGAACTTGTGCAATTTTTCATCTCTCATCTGGCCAGCTGGCTCCGCACCTGCCGCTTTCGCGAGCCTACTTTTCGACCCTCCGGAGCCACAAATCATCGGAAAAAACACAGTGTTTCGCGACTTTCCTACCTTTTCGCGCACCTGGATCTTCTTTCTTCTGAGACTTTCTCTTTTTTGATCTTCTTTCTTCTTCTCTTCTCTTCTCTGACTCTTCCCATCTCTGCTTTTTATCTGTCCTTATTGTCGGAAGATTAAGTTTGACTTCTAAACTTCCTTCGGTTAGCCACCAAAAATTGCAATTTCTTGCAAACGATCGGCCTGTCTGCTAAGGACATTCCTCAAATAAATTTGCTTAAAGAACATTCTAAAGCCCATGACTTTGTTTCCTTCCAAGCAAATCAATCAACTTTTGACAAAAATAACGAAAAACATAAAACATGCAATAAAGGTAAGTAGATTCATCATAATAAAAGTAAAATAATGTCAGAAAGAACCTTCTGCAATCTTAAACAGTAATTTCTTTAACAAACCAAGAAGAAAAATAAACAAGAATAAGTAAAAATACATATGCTCATCCGAAAGCAATACCTCCTTATCTACTGATCAATCAAAACCTTGCCAACAAAATGTATTAGAAAGGGTTGCAGATAGATCGGCAAAGAAAAAAATCTTTAAAACCACATGGTTGCAATTCATGTTTAGGAAAGTGAAAGTAATAGACTTGAAAAAACACTGAAATGCTTTCAAAGTTTACATCACAAAATGGTAGAATATTACCATGAAAATTACAAACAATCCAAGCTGCGAAAACAGATCCTCAGAATCCTCAGAATATAGAGCTAAAAGAACCAATAAAAAAAAAAGATAGGATCGTTCGATCTAAAAATACATTTTCACCCAATGCTAGAAACTCCTTTATTCCATTAAACACTGGTCTAGAAATATTTTGCTTTAACTTATTTATTCATTATCATCAAAATCATGTATATTTTGCAAAATAATATATCTAACCCAAGCACTCCTGGATTTCAAGCAATGAAATTACAAGATCATCTACATTCTACAGATTTTGAAAACGAATTTTTCCCGCAAAAAAAATATAACCCCTTCTACAAAAAAAATGTAGATGCTGAAAAAAAACTAATGGAAATAACGTTGATTCACAAAAACAAATGAGACAGTTAACATCAAATGAGAATATGATTGGTTATTGTCAAATTACTATGTAAAGTTTGATGGAATGTTATGAAATTGTAGGACCGTAGGATGATTAAAAAGGTAGTTACATTATAAAGTCAGTATGTCTATAAATTTTGACTGGGGATCAGTCTTGTCCACATCTGTCTACTGCACTTTCTACACCTTCACTATCTGCAAAATTGCACGTAAATAAACATGTAAATCCTCAAAATGCAGTAACTATATCACCAAAACTTGCACAAAGCTAAGCTTTGGTAGAAGCTAAAAGGAATCAACTTGCTACAGAAAATTTAGTAAACATGAACCCCACCAGTAGTAATTTAGAAAAAACGCTACCTTACAAAAAGTTGTATTCATCAAACATGACAAAAATAATATGTTTTACTCTGTTGTAAAAGCAGGTAACAGAATTTCTATCCATCTATTCCTCTAGTCATATAGCTGCAAATCCTAAAGCTTATGCAAAATACCAATGTCGTAGAAGATATTGGAAAAGCAGACTTGCAAGAATCAGATCATAGATATAGAATTCGTGTTGATTTAGTAAAAATGTTTGAAACATACCAAAAGTAGAAAATAAATATCATGAAATAAATATGTCACATGTAGATGTTGCAGCGCTGTGCTGCAGCTGCATATGCGGGCAGGGTGTGTGCAGGCTCATGCGCCCAAGATACTTTCCTGATGCAGTGCTGCAATGAAGGAAGACAAGGCATTCAGGAACATATCTGCTAGACAAAAAGGAAAAACTTTGGGGGGTGGGTTGCATATATCTTTATATATATATATGTTTGCATGTTGAAAATGGAAAAAACATGGATTGTGGAGGGCCACAGCAGGTATGCTTTAACCAAACTTAAAGCCAGCAGTGATGACGATGTTTGCAGCTTAGATTCTTACAGGTGAACTTGTAAATCTCGGTGGCAGTTTTCATTTTATAAATATGTGTTTCCACTTGTCCACCTCTTCGCAAAAAATGTTATTTATTATTATTATATATATATGTTTATTTTTATTATTTGAAACTGATTTTGATGCGTGGCTCAACCACCAACCAGGGAGTTTTGGATTTCTGTGTTAAATCCACGGTTATTTTCTCGGTTAGGAAATACAACAGGCTGATCACTCTTTACGTCCTACAGTTATGGCCTTTTACTAGTTATAAGATGTTATAAGAACTGAAATAACCCCATTTATGGAACGTATATATAAACCCATTTATAACAAGTTACAACTAGTAAATGGCCATAAGTGTGCGAATAATAACAACTCCCGCGAAATCCCTGGTTTGCGAGCATGCGGCTTGATGGACGAGGAATTGTGCCCAAACATGGCCACACTTCAATGGATGTGCAAGCAGCAAAAACGGGGTTGTATCAGTTATGGTCCGAAATACCAATGATAAATGGTTGTTTTCCTTATTTAGATGGGATTATACATAAACCAAAAGTCGGGCGACTTAGTGACTTAAAACTGGTAAAGGGTCATAACTTAATAACTGCAATTTATGACATAAATTGGAATCTGCAACCATCGTGGAGACATGTCATGGACATCTTTCACTGGTAAACCAATACATTTGATGTTTGGCCTTCATTTCGCTCATGTAAACCTCATTACCTCATTACCACGCATGAGAACATGTGGATTTCAGGGCTTCAAGTGGCTGAAACTTTGAATTTTCACTCCTGTCTGAGGTGTATGGCAGAACTGAGATTATATAAGCAGCTGGAATATTGGCTGATTATTATCGATCGATAGCATACATATATGTATATCTTCACGGATATGGTTGCTCATATGTGTGCGCAGTTTTCTTGATAAATTATATATATATATATATTCATAGTTAACAATGTGCATATACATATTTATATATACAGCACTCCTGGATGCAACCTAGTATACCAGCATCCACATGTATTTCCAGGCACCTGGCAAAAGTTGGGCCAAAGAGTTCCACCAAGGCGTTACGTGGCGGTGCCTTGACACCCATAGATTGTGTTGATTTGTGCCGCGGACAAATCAAGGAGAAACCAGGAAGCAGAAACCAGAAGAAACATGCAGGTATTCTAATGTTCATGTTGTGTAGTGTTTTTTGTTGTTGCAAATGGGCATTGTCTTGCATTTATCTGTTTGAGGACGAACTATGATTTGAGATGATTGAGTTCCGTTACTGTCTTCTTATATCAGACATGTACGTGTTTTTAACATAATATGTTCTATATACATTAAGTGTTTACGTGCGAGGTCATTTTTTGATGCACTGACAACACATGCTCATGTTTGATCATGCATGTTCAGAATCGTGAGGATCTTGTTGAAAACCGACCTAGTGTCTATATGTGAAAGTACAGGTAAAACAGTGGTCAACAGATTCAACAAATATGAAACGATATTGGAGACCATATTTTACAGGCTCTGAAGATTTCTCAAAGGTCTTCCATTTTGATTGAATAGTCAACATGTTACGGCAGTTGATGTCTTCGGCCAACGTAATCCCAAATCTAGTGTTCACATGGCCTTTAATCCTTTCAATCTGCTTTCACATGACCATGTTGCCGCGAACTGGTGACATGGGACACAACTGGAAGACACCCGGGGCCTGGCCCATGTGGAACCCCGGCCCCATGCCGCACTTTGAGCGCTTTTTTTGGCATTCTCGGGACAAGGTTTCTCGATCCTTAGGACAGACAGAGCGAGGCCTGAAGTGGGGGGGTTGAAGACTTGGCCGGTTTCTGCCAAGCAGGGAACTGCAGAGAGGTGTCTACAGTCACGCGCGCCCCCAGACATAAGATGATTCCCTGCTTTTGTTCGCCAGTGTGGGCCGTATGGGCCTGCCACAGGCTGCGCAGTGCTTATGTGCGCCAAAGCTGAGACCGGACATGATCAAAGGGACATCACAGGACTTGAGTTCAAAAGTTTTCCCTGGATTTAAGGCGCGGTGCTGTTGGCTATCATTTTGCCTTTGACTTGGTGTGGCATCAGGCCGAGAGGGGCATGTCCTCCACGAGGAGTTTGAACTGCTAAAAGAACAAAAGTGATGCGTTGTACATGTGCTAGTATTCGGTTTGATTTTTCATCCTGCATGTTGTTCCAATGCCACGTCGTTCCTCAAATAAACCTGCGTTTACACTTCATTCGGGTTGAACGGTTGAACTGTTTTTTAACTAAATTGGATTGTTTATTTCAGTGTATATCCTTTAAGGGTGCGCCGACATGATGCTTACTAGCAACAGACAAGTGAAACTTATGAGATGGGTGACAGGAGTCCACAAACTGACTGATCTGACTGTGCGATGTGACTTGTGTTTTTTGTTTGTTCAGAAGATGCATGCAACTTTGTGTGGGTGCAATTTTGTTTTTGATGTAAAGATCCAGTATGTCACGCAACAGAACAACGCTCATGGACTCTACAAAAAATATGTTCATGATATGGCGGTAACCCAAAAGCTCCAAGAACCGAGGATTTGCCTCATATATTTTTTTGTTTTTTGAATCCCAAGGAATTGCGGAATCCATTCATTACACGTCATGCCTTCCGGCGCTTGCAAGGTTGTTGAACTGTCCTTTCAAGCAGTGTTCGGTCCAATCGTGATTCAGTGATTAATTTGGTTTAAAATCGGGATACCCCGCATTTTTTTAATTAACTTTTGATTTGGGCAATGATGATTACCTACATGGATTTTGGGGTAGCCTATTTCTAGAACACATACACATTTCTATGGAAGATGGGAGGTGTATACCCGCATCAACTGCAAGGCATTGGAGACAGCAGGAAGATCAGGAGATGACCGGAGATGTTCGTGGTGGAATTATGAAATGAACGACATGTGAAAAGAGGCAGCAACAATCAAAAACATATGTACATATGAATTCGATACGTATTAAAGTAGATTGTTAAAACATGTCAGTACTTGAGAATAAAATGTTGAGCATTCTAAATGATACCACATATTTTTGTTTCAGAGAGTTTGTTTGTTTTCTTCACATGATTTTGCAATGTTGGGCTGGACACATGAAATTTAAGTTTTTTATCCATCCAATTTTTGATGGAATGTCCCATGGCCGACTGACGATGGATGACCCTCGTATTTCAACCCCAGCTCCAACGGAAACTGATTTGCGGGGCAAAGGATGCCTGGATACCTTTTGAGAAAACGCAACTCAACTCGTTGATGAACATTTATTGACATGTTTTACATTTTCGAACACTAGTTTGAAATCACAACATTTTTGATGTTCAATTTTTTCAACATCCACGTTGCACAACTTCGTGTCATGCAAACGGTACCGGAGAAAAACATCAGTTGATTGAGATCACCTCTAATCCGGTGATGATTTCGCCTGTGAGGTCCCTAGGTTTTGCCATTCAAAATTGGTGGGGCCACTCGTTTTTTCAACCTTTGTAAGGCGTTTATCCTCCGAAAACCGATGTTTTTGACAAGAGTAACTGTGTGGTTCAACCACCAACCACCAAAATGGGGAATGATTCAGCCCTTTTTGAGGCGCCCCTATTGTTTGAGAATGTCACTTTAAGATACTTTAAGGGGAATGACGGGATTTTTTTCAGAACTCCTGATCTATGGTCTGGTCATATTCTATTGAAGTGGTATGGTTGGACTTCATCAGTAAATGATTTGTAGCACAATATATTTAAAACTGGGGGTGACCAGGATACCCTATATGTTTAAGTCAATTTTTATTGGATTGTAAAATTATACAAAGATATTGACCCTCAGTCGGCCAATAAAAAACAATGGGGCCAATACACATATGTAAACATAATTCCTTAACGCGGGAAAATCATATTATGTTTCGTGATTTTATCTTGTCAATTTCAACCCGAACGGGGGTCATGTTCAGTTTACTATTTTATTACCAGCAGATTAACCAGTGACAAACAAGAAAAACCCCAAAACATAGCTAGCAACCAACCATCACGTCCAAATAAGATGATTATGATGATTGCTTTAGTCATATAGTCCAAATTCAATGCACGAAAATGCTTCAAATCCACACGGAGTCCGCTGCCGGGTCGGTTTTTTTGATGGGCCAGGAGTCTTTCCGCGACGTCGCCGCGACCTCGGCGGGGAAATTGTGTTGTTTTTCGGTTGGATGGGCGTATACATTATTTTAACTTTTGAATACTTCATTTAACTGCAGTTATGGCCTTTTACCAGTTATAACTACTTATAACCCCATTTATAGAAGCTATAATCCCAGTGAAATAACCAGTTATAACTAATAAATGGTCATCACTGTGGGAAATACTTCATCTAACTTTTTTCAAGCGATGTGCGAGGTTGGACATGGTTGGGCGTGTTCGGGCCGCAGCTAGCAAGTGGTTCACTACAAAATGTTTTGCATTCCAAGATCTTTCCACTTAGTAGATGAAGAGCAACTTTCGTTTCAAAAGGTGATAAACAATGGTAGAAAACTACTACTCGTACTCGTGACAGAGTCATGGTCACCAAATAGTGACTGGAAATGACTGGAATTCATCAAAAATCATCAATGCACGTTTTTGGTTTTTGTTTAAAGGTATTCAACGTATTTGATCATCAGCAGATCGGAAAAAACCCAACATTTGTTGGTTATTTCAAAGCCGATACCCATGGAGGTTTCACAGGTTTCCAACTTGGAACGATGATCTATTCCATGGTTTGTGAAGTGCAGTGATGCTCAGTGATGTAGCCCAACAATCAAGCTTTTTTGTATCCGAACATGGCTTCTAGATGCTTCTAGCCTCAGTAATATCTTTCAATAAAGAACAATTGTTCACCAAAAATCATACCCCAAATCTTGGGCTTTGCTGGTTTGAATTTTCCGGTACATCCAATCCTTGGGGGATGCTTAAGGAAGTTTCACTATCAGATACCCCGAAATATTTGGTTGAAGGGATATGTTACACCCTTTTAATTGCAGGAACTTTTTCAATGTTCCCTTCACGCATTGCCACCATGAACCAGTGGAGAATTGTTGCTTGTCATCACCATGTTTTGGTGGTTTTCCCAGTATATCTCCAGAAGTATAGAGAAATAATGGGAATATAATGGGGAAAACCACCAAATGTTATATATTTCGATTGGCACTACTTTCGGATCCGGTCAATCGATTCAAGGACTCAATCTGAATGTCGCAAGGCAGGCGAAGTGCGTGCTGAAAACATAGCTGGGATTAAACAAACCCATATCAGTTTGTTTTTTTTCCGGGCAATTTTACCACCATAAACACCAGCAACATTGGACTCATGAAAAGATGGATGTAGTTTGAAGGGTTGTAGCCAACCAAATGCCTGTGATATCGTTCGAGTGTTTGCTTCCTTGATTAATATCTTGAAACTCATCAACCCCCACAGTCTGCAAGAGACACTTGCTCATGGTTTTGTTGTGCGGTTGTTTCTTAGAAGCTGGTGCAAGCGCTGTATCTACCAGACACCCACTTTGCTGCGTGGATTCAAAATGTGGCCGGAACTCACTTCTGAAAAAACACTTTCAGTTTCTGTGTCTATGTGATCGGCGTCGGAATTTTCATGAATTTCAGGGATCATCCCGGAAGTCGGATCCCAGATGTGTCGCCGATTGAGGATGGTTATCCTTTGGACTGAGCGTAGAACATGCCCTGATTGCTGGCAGGTGGTTGGCGGATCTGAGGGGGCCGCACCACTGAGTACATGGGGGGAAACCAAAAAATTCGGAGACCCTAATTTGGCTTCCATGGTCACCAAAGATATGGGGATGGGTCAAAGGTCAAAACCTATTATTACATATTGTTACAATATTTTGGGGAATAACCATCCAGTAACCAGCTATTTTAGTGTGCCATCTGGCACCAGGGTTTTGATCCATTGTACAAAGTTCATGAATTTTGAGTTTCATTGGCAATGTTGCTGATGGGTTTTGAGGGTTGCTCCATCCAAAGATACCTGGGCTGTTTGGAGCGCCCCTGGTTTCTGTTAACGAACTGGGTCAATCGTCAACCTGAGGGACATACATTAAACATGGGTTCTAGCTTCGGGGGGTGTCCCGTTTACGATAATTTACTTGGTAAACATAACTCCAATAAATTTGGTTATGGCTTTATGGTAGACTAGACAGATTACAAAGCAACTTGCAACATCTGACAACTAGGGGGCCTCACCTTGTACTACTAGTACCCTCTGATAAACTAACAGTTTGCTATTGAAAATGGCCATAGAAATAGTTGATTTGCCCATTAAAAATGGTGGATCTTTCCATGGTTATGTTAGTTTACCAGAGGGTACCACACAAATCAGCGATGTCAGATGTCCATGTCTATGGTCATTACCAAAATCACAGCTAGCCATGTGGACATGTCATAGCAACCAATAGCGCCAAGCCCACCATAAATTTGGCGCTATCGGGAGTCATCCCAAAAATTGCCAAACAAATGTATCCTAAGTCAAATTTGAAAAAACTGATGGAATTTGTTGAAAAAATCATCCTGATGCAGTGGTTATTCATAACCACCTCCTTTTCAGATTGCAATTCTGGGAACCCGAGTACCATGAGACTCTCGACCTGGGAAGCCAAGTGGGGCTTGGTCAACGTTTCGCAGTGGCCCCTTCACCCCAGGTTACCTCTCTCAATTGGGCCATGCGAAAACTGGGCACCCTCTGGTTTGAAAGATCTCCGTTTCTAATAGAGAAATCACGGTCAATAAATGGACATCATCTATAAATTCATCTTCCATATTTTTTAATTTACTGGAAAGTACCCCCAGAACATGTTGGGGCCAAGTATTTTTGGGCTGCCAGGGCCTTGAAGATGATTGTCTTCAGGCCTTTGCAGTCAATCTCTGAAGTCATTCTTTCTTCAAACAATGGATTGGTTTAAGGGAAAATCTTCACGAGAAACCATGGTTTTTACCATCAAATATAGGGGTTTCCTGTAAATTTTCCCATCATCCAATTCTATGATTCAAACACTATTTATGGTGATTTCCTAGATTTCCTAAAATGGGGATGCCCCCAAATCATCCAGAATTAGACCAGGGCTTGAAACCCATGACTTGGGGCTCGGCCACTGAAAAAACTGCCACAATCAGAGCATCAGCCCTAGGCCGTTCACAGCGTGGGCCAGGGCAGTGTCAGGTCGCTCTTGGTGCAGATTTTGGGTTGGGGAGATCAACACTTTCGTGGCAAGCGAAATCATTTGCATTGACATTGATGGATTTCTTGATCTTGGTTCTAGTTTTGGATAAAATCACGGTTTTCCAGTTGACTTCCCATTGTGATCGGTACTATTGCTTGGAGATGCTTGGAGACTATATATCCATGAATCCATTCAGATTTTGCAATTTATATCTGTTGCATTTCTGTGCAAAAGATGATATCTCGAAATGAGGAGAAAAAACAACTGGTGGCTTATTATCTTCACAGTGGGCCTGGTACTGCCCCTTGATGTCGATTTAAAAACATGCAAAGAGCCGTGTATGCAAGGGGTGTAAGCCTGGATGTGCATCCAAAGAATCATAAAATGGTGAACAATGTGTGACTGGGCGCTTATCCCACCAATTGAACCTGATACCAAGCATTTATGGTCTGTATGCATAGCTTTTTGTTGGTTAAACCACCAGGATCAGTTCAACTTCGAAAGCACCAAGACTCGGCCAAGCCGGTGCGAGCGAAAACGCACTTTCCGATCTTAGCTTTCTCCGCGGGAACGTGGTGAGAGCTGATCGTATCATCGTGGCAGCGAGAAGAGATGGCATGATGTATCCAGATAGTCGGTTTTAGCGGGGGATTTACCAACAGAATTAGAGATCCAATGGGAATGTCACCAATTCTGGAATGGCACATAGGAATATCACCACCAAAAATTCATTGATTTAGCCTCTGGTCATCAAACGTGGCAAGCCGGGAAATCCACTAGTTCTATGGGGGGGTTCAATAGGAACATCACCTATAAATACTTGGTGGCTCATCCCACTTAGTAAGTGAGTTATAACCCCAGTTATAAATGGGATAAGTAGGGTTAATCCACTTAAATGAGCCACCAAGTAGTGTATTTCCCAGCAAGCCATGTTTGATGACACCGGAGGGTATGTGCTGAATGGGTGTTTGAAGGTGGACGACAGCAGAAATTGGATTCGGGTGATGATAAATCCATTATCGGGTTAGCATTTTCAGATAAACCCATGTGTTTCATGAAATTGTTTAAGTTTCGTTTCGGTGTTTTGCTTTAAGTACTTACAAAATCTTACAAACATGTTTTTTTTGTGTTATGTTATCTTGTTCAGATGAGTTTATGTTGTTTTGAATAAGCCATTTGAAGACGGGTGCATCTTGAGCCATGTCCAGAGATCAACGTAAGACAAAACTGGAGAGTTGACCCATGTAGATCCTATTATTGCTTGGTGTTAGATGTTTGAAAATAATGGATTACATCATTACATATTGACATTATTGACTAACATTATCTGGTTGGTGGATTGGAACATGTTTTATTTTCCATAATATATGGGATAATCCTTCCCATTGACTTTCATATTTTTCAGAGGGGTTGAAACCACCAACCAGTTATTGACTAACATAAAAAATATTCTATATATATATGACATATTCATGAATATCATGGTAGTTGAACATAAATTTCTTGGGTATCCAAGCTTGGCCAGATGCTCGCTGTCAGGAAAATTGATGTCTAAGGATCTGGTGTACAGATGGTGAAGATGAAGGAGCGACAGAGACACGTAAAGAAATCTCTCCGGCCACGTAAAGTGGTGCAAATGAAGTGGATATCACCAAACTTCCAACCTGGAAACACTTTTCCATTTTGTTTGGAGGGGGTTACCCAGACATGTAGCTCATTTCAGAACTGGAAGCAATCATCAATTCTATAGCGTTTGATATGTTTACTGGAGGGTACGAGTCCTTTTTTGTTTAACTATATTTAACAATGTATAACCACCAAGTAGGTCACGAGTTGTAGTAGTTTTAATTATAATCCACTTTCGATTCCTGAGGTTTTCACCACCAAGTATCCCGTGATTAAACAACTATTTACTCAGGATGTTCACTGAATAGGTCTGGAAAACACTGATAACTTTGAACTACCGCTGGGCGCAAGCCCCTTGAAATGCTTTCTGGGTGACAAAGCCCATTAATTATGGTTTATACGTATCATATTCCTCATACAACTTAGTGAAGCAAGGTATAATTGTACTTAGCTATAGTTTTGGGATACCTACCTTGCAGGCCTCGCAGGTAAATTCTATTCAACGGCACCATGAATGGATAGTGATGCCTCACCCGGAGGTGGAGATTCGCTAATGGCCATGAGTTTGGCTGGTCAAGTTAGCCAGTTTGATGGAGGCAGACCTAGGAAATGTAAGGCAGGCCTAGGCTCATCATAACTCCAGACAACCTTAGATTTTCCGGTAACTTGAGGTGTTTGTCACCAAAGATGTCCAAGAACGACGTCTGTAACTTTCAGGCGACGTTTCTCAAGAACGTTTCTTGACCAGCTTGGTAGCTGTGAATATATGTCCAGACTCCACTGATGGCCCAGTTCCTTCATCTTTGAGTTTCTGCCTGGTGAACAAGAAATGGCCCTTGGAGAGTCATGACATCATGGCGAACTTTGCGGTTGTAACGGTGGAAAGCAACAGCCAGTGTTGTATATTCAGTTCTGATATAGATACAGTACAAAGAATATATATATATATATGTTCTACACAATACGTATACATATTAATATATGTAATCAAATACGTACATATATGCATATATATAAATAATATTAATAATATTATTCACTGTATGGTTGTTGTGTTTGGGGCTCTGTTTTGTTTTATTCCCACTGACCGGAGCGGATCAACATTCCATGAAGATTCCAGGGCATATCCCTATGATATCCCCATGATAGCACCATGTTTACTGGTGAAATCCCATGAAATCATCATGTGGATCTGGGGATTGGGATATCTGATCCTTTACTGGGGATATCCATTGCGAACTGCATCCTGGATCAAGGTTCAATACGGTATCCATCGATCCCTCTCCCAAAGCCTGAAAAAATCATGGCACCAAAGAAGGGTGAGAAGAAGACGGCAGACAAGGCTGAGAAGGTTCGCTGCAAGAGATCTGCTTGGATCGGAAATCCACAGGTTTATGGTTTATGGTTTAAGGCCATGGTCAGCTTTGGAAGCTATACATGGCATACTTGTGAATTGCATAGTTGCGTGTATATATATATTTCACACTTAGACAGACAGATAGACAGACAGATACGTAGACAGATAGATCAATAGCTGGATTACAATCCGTCTATTTTTCGATGCATATCAAAGTTGTCGGATGACTTCAGGGATGCGAACGATTGCGATCTACCGTAGATCCAGATGTCTTGTCATCCCCAGCAACATTGCACAGGGTTGAAGGACCACGGCGAGATTACAGATAGGAATTTAAGTAAATTTATAGGACATGTTAGGCTTTCTAGGATTTTTGTTTAGGGATTTATATGGACTTATACACAACTAGACGACGGATGGCCCGAGAGCGTAGAGGAGCAGGGTCTTCTCTTGTTAGTATGGAGACACAATTTTACAAACAATATATGAAAGATGTGTTATAGGCAGTCGAGAAGAGAAGTAGCAAGACAAAATAGTGAGAAGTGCAAGACAATAGTTTGCATCGCAAACACTTTTACACACAGACGCTTTTACACACAAAAGTTTTTACACACAGAAGCTTTTACACACAGAAGCTTTTACACAGAGGCTATTACACACAAAGCTGTTACCCACAGAAGCTTTTACATACAGACGCTTTTACACACAGATGTTTTTACACACAGACGCTTTTACACGGACACTTTTACACACAGACATGTTTACACACAGACACTTTTACACACAGACCTTTTTACAGACAGGAGCTGCTTTTACACACAAACGCTTTGACACACAGACGCTTTTACACACAGACGCTTTTTACACACAGACGCTTTTTACACACAGACGCTGTCACACACAAACACATGTACACACAGAGGCTTTTACACAAACACTTTTACACAAACACTTTTACACAAACACTTTTACACACAGAAGCTTTTACATACAAACACTTTTACACACAGACGCTTTTACACACAAACGCTTTGACACACAGCCGCTTTTACACACAGACAACCTCTACACACAGACGCTTTTTACACGCAAACGCTTTCACACACAAACACATTTACACACAGAGGCTTTTACACAGAAACACTTGAACACAAACACTTTTACACACAAACACTTTTACACACAGACGCTTTTACACACAGACACTTTGACACACAGACGCTTTTACACACAGACGCTTTTACACACAGACGCTTTTACACACAGAGACTTTTACACACAGACGCTTTTTACACACAGGCGCTTTTACACACAGACAAGAACGGCACAAGTAAAATCGCACTTTTACCTCAGTTTTTGCCGATCGACCCTCATTTCGCGCGAAAGGGTTGCTCCAGGACAAGTAAAATCGCAGTTTTACCTCAGTTTTTGCCGATCGACCCTCATTTCGTGCGAAAGGGTTGCTCCGGGGCACAGTCAAATCGCAGTTTTACCTCAGTTTTTGCCGATCGACCCTCATTTCGTGCGAAAGGGTTGCTCCGGGCACAAGTAAAATCGCATTTTACCTCAGTTTTTGCCGATCGACCCTCATTTCGTGCGAAAGGGTTGCTCCAGGACAAGTCAAATCGCAGTTTTACCTCAGTTTTTGCCGATCGACCCTCATTTCGTGCGAAAGGGTTGCTCCGGGACAAGTCAAATCGCAGTTTTACCACAGTTTTTGCCGATCGACCCTCATTTCGTGCGAAAGGGTTGCTCCAGGACAAGTCAAATTGCAGTTTTACCTCAGTTTTTGCCGATCGACCCTCATTTCGTGCGAAAGGGTTGACGTTTCGTGACTCGCCGCCGGCACCACCCTCGGCCTTAAGAGAGAAAGATAAAAAGAAGGCGTGAAGAGAGAGAGAAGATGAGCAGATGTGAGAGAAGATGTGAGAGAAGATGTGAAGATGAGCAGATGTGAGAGAAGATGTGAAGATGAGCAGATGTGAAGATGAGCAGATGTGAGAGAAGATGTGAAGATGAGCAGATGTGAAGATGAGCAGATGTGATGATGAGCAGATGTGAGAGAAGATGTGAAGATGAGCAGATGTGAAGAGAGAGAATTTGTGAGAGAAGATGTGAAGATGAGCAGATGTGAAGATGAGCAGATGTGAGAGAAGATGTGAGAGAAGATGTGAAGATGAGCAAATGTCAAGATGAGCAGATGTGAAGATGAGCAGATGTGAGAGAAGATGTGAGAGAAGATATGAAGAAAGATGAGCAGATGAGAGAAGATGTGAGAGAAGATGTGAGAGAAGATATGAAGATGAGCAGATGTGAAGATGAGCAGATGTGAGAGAAGATGTGAAGATGAGCAGATGTGAAGATGAGCAGATGTGAAGATGAGAAGGTGTGAAGATGAGAAACAGACCCCCACTATTGGAAGAACCCTGCGCTCAGACGCTCTCGGGAAAAATCGATTGTTGTCCTTTTGCATTCTGCACCTAGGGCACTCCAAAGTCCTTTGCTTGATCACAATTCACCAATAAAAATTGCCATTTAGGGGGAAATCCCACATTTTCAGGCACATCGGTTGTATATGCCCATGAAATATCACCAATGTAAGCCCCCCAAAGCTGGCATCTCTTAGATGTTCTTTGCCCAGTCCGGTGAAATGACCACTGCCAAAGTTACAAGCTCAATTCATAAAACCTTGGTGTTACATCCCATAAGTTGGTATCCCCAGAATATATATATATACAATGCGGGCCCCCGTTCGATAGCTAAGTTGGTGTTTTCATAACTTCAATAACTCGGATTTATGATACGCAAATAACATCTTATAACTATAATTAAAGGGGTTTATAAACCAACTTTAACTAGGGTGCCCCACATTCTATCTATCACATGGTGGGTTATGCGGGTTTCCAACAAGTCACGGGGGTATACCCCCAAAAACATCCAGTCGTCATGGAGTCATGGACGACCATGACTTGCTATGGAAACCCGGGCTGACTTGGGGATCTGCAATGGCTTAAGAACCCCCCTTGTGGATTCTTATGGGAATAGGATGACGGTATGGAGATACATTTATTATCTATGATATAATCTATGGTCAACAAAACTAGTACTTCTTCCATTTACCATAGATCTATGAAATATAAACCGTATGAAACTCATAAATCCCAGATGGTGAAAAAAAAGTCTCATCAAATGACCTCCGCAACTCGGACTGCAGGCCGCAAAGCAAGTGAAGGCCAACGTGGGTAAGAAGGCAAGCCTCCTCGGGGGGAAACCCATAGTCATGGGGGTACTCCTATATCTGGCTGGTGGTTTGGAACAAGAGTTTTATGTTTCCATATATTGGGAATGTCATCATCCCAACTGACGAACTCCATGATTTTTCAGAGGGGTGGCTCAACCACCAACCAGATGAATAGTTTTTTTTCATCCAAATCTAAAATGGATGATTTAGGGGTACCCCTATTTAGGAAACCTCCATTTAGCCAATTTTACCAACATCTGGGTGATGTTGGGGTAATCATTCCTGGTGGTCAATCCAACCCGCGGAACCGTGAATTGTACTTCCAGACTGGCCCATTCAGGTTCTACTAGTTAGTCTCTAACCAAACTTGACTCACAATTATGGTTACCCTCTGGTAAACTAACATAGCTATCGAAAATCACCATTTTTATGGGAAAATCCACTATTAATGGCCATTTTCAATAGCTACGTTAAATTACCAGAGGGTACCAATTACAAATTATTATGAATATTTATAAATGGGATTCTGCAGTTATGGTCCAAAATACCAGTTATAAGTACTAAGATGTACTAAGTCACCCCATAGAAATGGAATGTATAATCCCATAGTACTTATACCCCCCCTTTATGGAACGTATAATCATAATGCCATAGAAATAACCAGTTATAACTAATAAATGGCCATAGCTGTACTGATCCTGCCCTTGTGACTTCTGAGTATATCGTTTGTGATTGAACAACTCTCAGCCATTATATACAACTAATTACGATGTAGCTCTAAGGACCCTATATATATATATATAATGAGGCCCCCGTTCGATAGCTAAGTTGGTGAACATAACTTCAACAACTAGGGTTTTTGATACTTTTAACTATAGTTAATGGGGTTTATATCCAAATTATAACTAGGGCGCCCACATTGTGTATATATATATATGTATCATTGGCAACATTAGGTTAAGTTGCATATCAGTTGGCAGATTCATTCTTCAGATCTACATAATCTATGTGTATGCAGTGTATGAATTATAATACTTTTAAAAGAACAAATCACAACACCAATATCTATCACAATAACAACAATAATCATCCCTCTATGTATATATATATATATATACATATTAGATTTCACATTATATATATGTAATATTATAGTAATAAATATATATATATATATATACATTTTATAGGTAGGTCAAATCTAGCACATGTGGTTTCCCATTTTTCCCAATCCCGAAACGTTCAGGTGAAGAAGATCCGCACCAAGGTGCGCTACTACCGTCCAAAGACCCTCATCAAGGCGTGGTGTTTTCGGGGCATTGCCCAACAAAAAGGTGAGGAAAAAACGGGCCAAAGTGGTGAAACATAAGGAAGACAGGTGATTTATGTGGATTTATATGGATTTATATGATATCATGATTTATAATATGATTTATATGGAATTCTATGGATTTATACGATGATTTATATGAATTCATATGGTGATTTCATTGGATGTCCCGGGATTTAGTGGGATCTAGATAGCTGATTTGGTCAACATGAGTCCAGCGACTGTTGGGTTTATTGTAGATATAGCGAACTAGTCAATGGGAATAACATAAACCAACAAACCCAACTGGGGGGCCACCACCTTCTGTTTGATTAAAGATTGGAGTATATATATTCTCCAAATAGCGATGTCATTTGCTGTTAAACGGTACCCAATGATCAAGAGCCCAGAGGTCAAATCGGTACTCCTTTTTTCTGTTCAAAGGTTTGGTCCGTGGAACTCATCGATGAATTGTGTGACGAAGCAGAAGAATAGATGACCATGAATCAACCATCATAAAAACATGGGCTGCTGAGATTAGCTGAGTGGCCCCGCTCATGGACCAGTGACTGAGAAGAATCAGGTCGGACATGTTTTGTTCACTTAGCTTCTCTGGGATTCACTAGGTCTTCAAGAATTTTCCCGAGGAATTCTAGTCTTTGGGGCCCTAGAAAGGGGGATGTAGTATCATTGTAGTAGCTCTTGTCTCTGATCCATTGCATCGCCATCTCCTACTCCTACCATCTTCTAACTCTCCTAACATTGCTGACATTCTGTCCTTGGTACAGAGCAGAGCATCGACACGGATCCTGAAGGTGAAGCTCCACCAGTAAGAGCTATCTGCCTGGCTAGCCATCATGGCAGTCCTTGCTCAAAATTCGGATGTGGCCCAAGAACTTGAGACCAAAACTTGTAAGTTTCTTGTTGGACCTTCCTCTCTCGCATTGTTTCCGGGATGAATTTGATTCTTGCCACAAGTGATCCTCAAGAAAGCGACATGTGCCAAGGAAACTACCAGCCTCTACCGTACTGGCAGCTGGACAATTCTAGGTTGAAACTGCCAACCCGATGACCAACAACCTAATAACCATCATCCCTTCCCATATCCCTTGAATTCGGATATACTACCCAGGAGTCCCCTAGTTTGTAAGTTGCTTCTAGTTCATTTTAGTTCCACCCCTGACACACCAGTCCGATATATCCACCATGATAATCCAATGGTTATTGGAGTTATGTTTACCAACTCACTTCAATACAAATCCTTTTAAACCGTATGTAAATCCACATAAATCCACCATGAAATTGCGGGGGTTCCTAAAATGGTGGTACCCCAAAACCATGGGGTTTCCCAGGATGGTCTAATGACTTGGATGATTGGGGGTTAAGTCGCCCCATGACTTAGGAAACCAGACGAAACTGGATGTGATGCTCCCAGAATCCTTAGGTTTCCTAAGCCAGGCACGAAATGGCAAGTACCCCCGCAAGTCTGTGGAGCAACTTGGTGGAACAACGGCAACGGCAATGGGGCGTCACATCAAGGGGGGGTAAATGGTATTGTACCTTATGGATGGTTTAATATGGAAACTCCGAAAAGAAAATGGATGGAAAATGGGTCTACCAGGAAACCAAGGGACATTTAGTGATTTGTAGTAAGCGGACAAACCATGATCGTTCCATTCTTGAGATCAAAACAATGTGCCAAGCATGACCACGACCATGGAAACGCAATATATCCATGCCACATCGAGATGACCGGCAAGCCTGAGGATTTGTGTTTTCCATTTTTCACCTGGGTGAAGCAGTTTAATTTGTGTCACTTTTTGTTGAGGGCCTCTATGATCCTTTATGACTTTATGTTTTCCGATTACCAAAATCAACCAATGTCCAGACCTTTCCTTCGGCAGACCACAGGAGTAGGGGTGACAAGCTGGACAAGTACCGCATCATCCAGCACCTTGGTGGTCTCACAATGGATCGATTGTCGTTGTCGTTAAGTCATTTTTCAGGAGGTTTCCTACAGTTATGGCCCGAAATACCAGTTATAAGTGCTGAAATAATATCTTATAATCACATTTATAGAATGTATATATAATCTCATATTTACCAATTATAACCGATGGCCATAACTGTAAGTCATGAGGGTAGCCCCAAATCATCCAAGTCATTGGGGTCCAAACACACTCCACAGCCTCCTGGGCTTGCGATTTGGAGTTCAGGTCCAGGCACACTAGAGACCCTCACCTGGTGGGGAAACATGGATGATTTAGGGGTAACCCTACTTTAGGAAACTTCCACTAACTCTGAAACCATTCAATTCTTGATTCCCCCATTTTGCATCCATGCGGACATGTGGATGTTGTCTCTTTGTTCCAGCAAGTCAAAGCATGAGGTCAAACATTGCAGGTATTTGCAAGTCATTTCAGCTGGAAAGCTGCCAAAAATAAAATCTTAAATCTTCCAAAAATGGGAATCATGAATATACTGGTATTTGATATAATATATCCTATTTTTGGCAGCTATGTGCATATTTATAAATATATATAATATATATATATATTTATATATATTTATATATATACATATCTGGGTAAATTATAGCGACCTCACTGCGACCTCATTGGAATCATGGTTAATAAGGGAAATCATCCACAAATGGCCGCAAGATTCAGGTTAGTGAATTATTATAATTTACCCATATATATATGTGTGTCTTTCGTATATTTGAAATATCCACCAATCCACTATCTTTGACTTCTTTTCAGCCCGGTCAAGTACGCCAGCGGCCGGCAAGTTATCAGTCACTTTTTCATTCAAGCACCGGTCCTGGCCGTGAGTCAAAACCCTGGTCCTCTCCGAAATATCTTCCGAAATATCTGGTTTATGGATGTTTATATTTCCCCTATGGTAATAATAAGATTTGACCCATCCCTATATCATGGAGGGAAATTATATAATTATACTATATATAACATTTGCAATATATATATATATATATACACATATACAGACTCAGCCAATAATCACCATTTTGGTCTTAGTAATCCCTTCCCCGTTTTCCGGGACACAGGGCATCTACAAGGTGTCTTTTTTGGGCGAGCTGAGTGTTGCAAAAACTTGGTTCGCCACGGTCTATGGGAGATAACTATATAAATATAATATAGTTGGTTACTGGGGGTTATAAGTGAACAAGATAAGGGTTCTGTTTGAGCAAATCTGGTGTTAGACTAACAGAATGAGATGTGGAGAGGGAAAACCATTCGCAGATCATGTCCCTAACTTTTCTTGGTGCTTTCCCCATGGGTTTCCCACTGATTTTTGGTTGATCGCTAGGGTAACCTGGAGTGGCCCCAGCACCAAGTTGACTAAGGTGCCCGGTGACCACTGAGTCCGCCATGAAGAAGACGCTGGAATGGGGTTGTTCGTTTGTTACCTACAGTGAACTGGTGATTTAATTGACTTTAATTTTGATTTAATGGTGATTTAATTGACTTTAATGGTGATTTAATGGACTTTAATGGCCTTAATGGTGATTTAATGGAAATTTAATGGACTTTAATGGCCTTAATGGTGATTTAATGGTCATTTAATAGACTTTAATGGCCGTAATGGTGATTTAATGGTCATTTAATGGACTTTAATGGACTTTAATGGCCTCAATGGTGATTTAATGGTGATTTAATGGACTTTAATGGCCGTAATTGTGATTTAATGGTGATTTAATGGACTTTAATGGCCTTAATGGTGATTTAATGGTGATTTAATGGTGATTTAATAGTGATTTCATGGTGATTTAATTGACTTTAATGGCCTCAATGGTGATTTAACGGTGATTTAATGGACTTTAACGGGCTTTTATGGTGATTAATGGTGATTTCGTTATAAGTTTTGAAATTTCTAGAGTGTTTAACGATGATGAATGGTGATAAATAATAGTTGATAGTGGCTAAACATGTGATGGTTATCGAGGTTATAACTGGGTTATTTCTATGAGATTATACATTCCATAAATGGGGTTATCTCAGTACTTATAACTGGTAAATGGCCATAACTGTATGAAGTTACCTTGAAATGACGGAACTACCATCCAGCTATGCCAGCTAAAATACGTTTGGTACTATGACTGGGTACCAGGGTGCCATGACTCATAGAGATCTGGTTTTATTGCGATAAAATGATGACTTCCAGCAAGGGTTTATGGTAGGGTTTATGGATGTTTATGTCGAACTAGTGGAGTTTCGTCAATCAACTTGGCAGCCCACCTTGTACAAGGTGGGCCCTCGGCATGAAATTTTTATGGCCATTTAGGTACCATCACCCGGCAGTCACTGTGACAACCATTGAGGTGTGAACGTTTGAGGTGTGAACCATTGAGGGTCAAATTGGGCCTTATAAGTTATGATTCTTCAAGATTCTCTATTCCAGTCATGACCATTATGGCATGTTATGGCGCACGACATCCAAAAAAAATCAAGCTTGACAAAAGAACGTACCCAATTTCCAGCAGGGCAACAGTTATGGCCCTTTACCAGTTATAAGATGTTATAAGTACTGAAATAACCCAATTTATAGAATGTATAATCCCATAGAAAAAAAACAGTTATAACTGATAGCCATGGCGATAACTGCAATGATGTTCAATTCGCCATAGTTTTTTTCAGGATCAAAAACCAGCAACACTCCTGTCCCAGGCTTGTTGGTCGAGCCAGTCATCTGTCGTATTGTGTCAAAAAGACGGGACTCCATTCTTGTTGCAATTCAAACGTTTATGATCCATTCCAGTTTACGAATGTTTATTGTGCTGTCCAATGTCAATGGATGTCAATGGTATGTTAAATGAGTTGGAATGGGGTATCTTATATGTTCCCCAATGGTAAAATCACATAAAACCGACCATGTCTTCGTGGTTCCATGGCCATGTTTTGCTTTAAATCCCAATTGTTTTTACTGAAGTCCTTTTGTAATCTTTATACTTAAATTTATCTTTGAATAGTTAAATCCCTAAGGTTGTTGGTTGAATCCCCACCATGTCTCATATTTCCCGGCAGTGCAGAATTCCGGTGACTCCGGTGAATTACTTCGTAAATTTCTCCGAAAACCATGACTTGACCCAGGTGAGGCTCCTCCTGGTATGCTGGTTGCTTTCTAAACCACTTATCATCTGGTAATGACTAACATAGCTATTGAAAATGGCAATTTATAGTGGATTTACCTGATTTACCCATTGAAAATGGTGATTTTCCATAGCTATGTTAGTTTACCAGAGGGTAGCTACAATTATCTGGGAATATGTGTCTACTTAAAATAGCCCCATTTATGGTTTATGTATCATCCCATTTATAGTTTACTTATAACCATTCATAATTGATATTTCTGGCCATAGCTGCATTAATATATCTGGGTAAATTACAACGACCTCATTGGTTCTCCCTCACTGGGAATGATGGTTAGTAGGGGTGACTATCCCAAAATTGCCCACCATTTCAGGTTAGTGAATTACTATAATTTACCTAGAATTGTGAAGATATATACAATTATATATATATATGTATATTTCCCTTCTTAAGCCTAGAATTCACCAAGTTAAACGTCAACTTCGCCTTCTCGTGGCCACGAAACTCCCGTAACTTGTAGTTATTTCACCAACTATAGCTATATCCCCAATAAACAGCAATAAACAGCAATAGACCTTAGTTATGTCACCTACTTAAAGCATCCCCAATAAACCCTAGTTAACCTACTTAAAGCCTCGTTCTCATCTTTGTTTTTCCGAGGATTGAGGAGATCAACACCTTGGTCTTCTTGGTGGATGTTCAGGCGAAGTTGCCAATGGCCAATGGTGATATCAATGGCGTTTTTTTTTTGCGAACTTACCCTCTGGTAAACCTACAAAAAACTATGGAAAATGGATGAAAATTGTCATTTATAGGGAGTTTTCCCATAAGAAAAGGTGATTTTCCATACTTTTTTGTTAGTTTACCAGAGGGTATATATGGAATTCCTGTGGATTTATATGGTGATAGATGGTGATAGGTGATTAGGTGATATCATTGGATTGCTTTAAGGGAACATCTACAGGAAAACCCTGGTTTTAAGCATCCAGGTTTAGAGGTTTCCTGTTAAAATTCCCTTGAACTCTTGAACCAAGCCACGTTGATTCCTCTTCAATCCCGGTAAATTTGCCTAAATGTTCAATCCTGTTCAGTAGCTTGGGACTTAAATTTAATGAACTTTAACTTTCTGGTAAACCTTTACATAACTTTGGAAAGATCCACAATGTTTAAAGGGAAAACTCATAGTCATTACCAGAAGGTACAGCCCGAGCGCTGGTGAAGAATCCGAAAGCTTGAGGTCCAGGGCCCCTCAAATTCTTATTTTTAAATACAGGCAAATTTACACTACAACAGGCCGAGGGTCCCTCAAATTCTTAAGGCATTCTTAGTATTGTATTGCAGGCAATTTGGAGCAAGATTAAACAAGGTAACGAGGTGGAGTTGGCAGATTTGACTATTCATGCGAAAATATGTCTTCAAAATCGAGCTACAGTACGATTTTGCGATATACCAGGGTTTTGGCCGCGCTGGGCTCTGTCGTGGCCGGAATCCTGCATAGCTGTTCCGGCTACGCTCGTTTTTGGCCTGCAGCGGGGCCGCGGTGCCAGGAAAACGCAAAAACGCTCGTAGATCGGCGATCTACGCGCGATTTTGCGTTATACCGGTGTTTTGGCCGCGCTGGGCTCTGTCGTGGCCGGAATCCTGCATATAGCTGTTCCGGCTACGCTGGTTTTTGGCCTTGGTTGCTTGCAGCGGGGCCGCGGCGCCAGGAAAACGCAAAAACACGCGTAGATCGACGATCTACGCGCGATTTTGCGTTATACCGGTGTTTTGGCCGCGCTGGGCTCTGTCGTGGCCGGAATCATGCATACAGTAGCTGTTCCGGTGGTTTGCGGCCTTGGTTGCTTGCAGCGGCGCCACAGCGCCAGGAAAACGCAAAAACGCGCGTAGATCGACGATCTACCCGCGATTTTGCGTTATACCAGGGTTTTAGCCGCGCTGGGCTCTGTCGTGGCCGGAATCCTGCATAGCTGTTCCGGCTACGCTCGTTTTTGGCCTGCAGCGGGGCCGCGGTGCCAGGAAAACGCAAAAACGCTCGTAGATCGGCGATCTACGCGCGATTTTGCGTTATACCGGGGTTTTGGCTGCGCTGGGCTCTGCCGTGGCCAGAATCCTGCATAGCTGTTCCGGCTAAGCTGGTTTGCGGCCTTGGTTGCTTGCAGCGGCGCCGCGGCGCCAGGAAAACGCAAAAACGCTTCCGTTATACAGAGGTTTTGGCCGCGCTGGGCTCTGTCGTGGCCGGATTCGTGCATGGTTGTTCCGGCTCCGCTGGTTCCCGGCCTTGGTTGCTTGCCGCGGGGCCGCCGCGCAGACGCAAGATGACACCACGCAAAAACGCGTGTAGATCGACGATCTACGCGCATTTCTGCTTTTTGAGCCCGGTTGCGGCGGCTCGGCGGTTTAAAGTTTAGCGCCCAGGCGCCGCAGCCGCGCCAAGGCTCGATTCTCCCCCGGCGCGCCCTTCACAGGCTTGGGCTTGGCGTTTTTTTTGCTTGAAGGAAGCGAGTCATCACACGGTCCGTGTAGCAAGTCACGCTCGCGGTCATGCTTGGCATTCGTTTTACTATTTGATATTTTCTACCCAGAACTTCCATTCCTCCTTATTTAAGGAATTCCTCCTTATTTAAGGAATTCCTCCCTAAAATTCCTCCTTAAATTAAGGTGGAATTTTTGAAAAAATCCTCCTTAAAATTCCTCCTTAAATTTTCAATTGCAAGGAGATCTTGCACCTCCTTCAGCAGGAGACTTGAAACCTCCTTATCCCAGATCCTGGCAGCAAAACTTTTCACTTCAGCTCTGGAATCACTTGTGCTCGAAAACTTTGCAGAACACTCATGCCTATGGAATAAGGGTTGTGGCTTCCACCTTTCACAGCTCCTAAGTGAGCTAGGAAGCCACCAAAGTCTTCGTCTCGATATGTCCAACTGTCTGATGGACAAGAGTTCTGGAGCAATAAATCTAAGAAGCTGTGGTGCTTTGGTTTTGATCTTCCAAGTATGGTCAGTCTCGTTTTCCAAGCTCTTGCACAACAGCAAAAACTTTCTGCCAGGCAGCAGCATTGACTGGTGATTCCATAGATTCTTGGACAAGAAAGAATAACATTGCCACAGTTCTGTGGCAGCCATCTTGATTGTATATTCAAACACATTGTCATCAGCCAAAAATTCATCGCAGATTTGTTTTGCAAGAGTAATCAACCCTCGAGCTTCTGCAGCTTTGGCTCGAAGTTTTGGACTTGAACTGGCTTTCTTTCTGATCATGAGGACTGTCAAAGTAGGAAGCCCGTTTTCCACACCTTCAGTCTTGTAGTAGCTTTGAATTCTGTGGAACAAGCTTTTCACCCTTTCTTTGACATTGTTGCCAGGCAAGTGATTTCCAGAGGCAATTAAATGGTGAAAAACATTGCCCATAAAATCTGCTGCCACGCCAAGTCCACAATGTGAAGCCAGTCCAAAAGAAATTGTTTGCTTGTCAGTCCTGGTGTTTGAAACAATTCATTGATGTCAATGCCAGAATTGGAAATGGATTGCAACAAAGTGAAATGGTCCAAAGGATCAAATGCCTTGCAGCTTTCAAAGTTTCGAATTTCAATTGGTTTGCACAAGCACAAATGGCAGCATCCTTGTTTGTCTCGCCATCCAGGAAATTGGAAAACTTCTTTTCTCATAGCCCAATCACCTCTCACTTCAAGTAAAAAAGCAGTGAAAGGCAATGCCTTGCCATTGAATGTGCTTCGTTTTTTGTCGCCTGGGTGCCAAAAGCTGCCATCATGCCTTGCTGAAGGCCAAGTGCAATTGGCTAAGTGAATAAAAGACCAAGACAAAATTCCTAACATCTTCGACAAAGTTACTCCCTTGATGCACCAGTGCTTTGGAATACAGCACAAAGGGATTCGCAAAGTACCATTAGGTGGAAGTAAGCCAGGAAAATTCAATGAGATGCATTCCAAAGTTTGACTTCTGTCATAATTGTAAGGTGTGCCATCGATCCAAAGGCCAAGTCCTATGGCTTCTCGAACTTGGAACTGCATTTGCATGTTCGCCAAATGTTTTTTGCTGAGTTCACACATGCCACCAGTCTGCAGCAAGTCTTTCTTCTCAGAGCGCTTCGAGAAGACAAAATGAATCTCATGTGGCAAAAGAAAAGGTATCTTCTTCATCTCTTCTGCTTGTGTTTCAGGATTGTAGCAAGGGATCAATGCAATGTATTCATTGAACCACAGGCAGTTCTTCAACATTTTTCTTTTCATATCCCTTGCCAAATTCTTTTCCCAATTGGCTTGCTTCTCACCACTGCCAGATTTCTCTGCACCTTTGACCAAATCTTTCACACCAGCGGCTCCAGCTATTTGTGCATCTTTCATGAGCTCATTGGCTCTTCTAGCAGAGACAGTCTTGGTCAAAAACAAATTGGACACATTGTGTCGAAACCTCTTCTGGTCAGGTTCCCTAAGGGTAGACAAATCTACCTTTCTCTTGTGAAACATGGCTTGAGCTGGAAAAACATGTCAACATAAAAGTTCATAAGATCTCAGAAGACAAGAAGTTACACATTGTATTTAGTTAATGCTAAATTTGGCCAATGCTTTGAAACAGGGAAACAGTAAAGGAGATCTTACACCTCCTTGAGTCTTGTACACCAGCTTAGAAGCAGGCTCTTTTTCCAGCGACAGTTACCAGCTGCGCATCTTCCAAGCAGATCCCTGCGATATTTTAATCTGCATTTCCACATTCCAAAACTGACAACTGCACCAAATGCGCTTTCCAAAATCTAAGGGCCAAACAGCTCCTACAGCAATGCCTGGTGAGTTTTCACCTTGGCTTTTGCTTCTTGCAGCTTCTCTTGGCTGGAAGCAAGCCATGCTTTGGCAGCAGGCAATGATTTCGAAAGGCTTTCAGGAGAAGTGTCCTCAGGAGCAAGATCTTCACTGGCTGCGACATAGGATCGAAGGTTGGCAATGGCTTTCAACTGCTCTTGACACCAAGTCTGAAGACCTTTGCCTTTGGCATGGAAGCTTGGGTCACCTTTGATTTCCAAACGACAGGCCAGGTCCTGGGCCTTGGCAAGCTCCTTCTCCCAGGCATTCTTGCAGGAATTCAGACTGTTGCACACATTCTGAAACTCCTTCAAAGGCTTACTGACCCCCTTGTCATCCAAAGCCTGGCCTGAGATCTGCTTGTCCATTGGGTCCACAGGGTTCTTCTCAATGGTGGCCAGTGGCTGCTTCCTCCATGGAGGCAGTTCCTTTGGAGGTTCCATTGAACCTTTCACTGAAAACTGAAAAGTGTAATGATGAAGTAAGTTGTGATGTCTATGAATCTCCAGTTCCAAATCCGATGGTTTCTATTTTGGACCCAAAGTGATTTTTATTGGAGGTTAAAATTGGTTAAAATTAAAATTGCCAATTTTAATTTTAACCTATCCTGCCTTTAAAAGTAATACATAAACTGGTTAAAATTAAAATTGGCAATTTTAATTTTAACCTATCCTGCCTTTAAAAGTAATACATAAACTGGTTAAAATTAAAATTGGCAATTTTAATTTTAACCAATTTTAACCTCCTTATTTTTCCAATTTGAAACCTTTACAGTCATCATGCATGACCTGAGTGAATTGTATCCAGAGTTGCCAAGAGCCACTCAAACAAAGGAAATGGATGGGCATCAGCTTCGGCCAAGGAGATCTTGCACCTCCTTTTTGATT